AGCGCGGCGCACACTTCCCCGCCTCTAAAACCCTCTCATAAATGAGGGGAGGCCTGTGCTCAGCAGTGGGACGTATATAGGCTGTAACTTTACTTTACTTTACTTTAGGTATTAATAAAAATTTGTACCTTTCAAGCTGTCTGCCATGACCTTGAGACCATCATAGGTGTCTGGAAATGTTATTTTTTGGTAACTTTTATTTAATATTTCAAGATGTCAAAGCGGCAGATTTATTGCTATCACGTTATTTTTGGTCATTTTTTTACACCTTTACCACCTGAGCGTCTCTATATCGACCGCTGGTTAAACTAGAGTCCCCATTTCATGTACCTCAGGTATAGGGGATTAACTGAAAAAAAAGTGAAGGTTATGAAATACAGTAAGTCTGCCGCCCACTGGCTCTTAAGCTGCTATGAAATAAACACTGATTTTTTTGACAAATATACACTACACCTCTAATATATTATACAGTCCAGTCATATATCTAAACTAGCTAGCAAACTTAGTTTTGCAGCAAATACTATTTTTTATAGGATAGGATGACAAACGAGCACACAGTCCACCTGATGGAAAGTGGATGCTGTGGCCCATAGACATCTACATCTATCCTCGATTACGAATCAAAATGCAGATGCGTTGTCATCCGTGAGGACTTAGTTGGAATGCCTCGTTTCCAGTAAAAAGGGTCTCCGGTTCTCTACACTCACCATACGAAACACAGCAGCATTGAGCTACTATTTCACGCTGGTATTCCATGAGAGCGTGGTCCTTCCCCGGTCGAGCCGACCCATTCGTGCTACAACTATACTACTAATATAACTGCAGCGTGGCTCTACCACGTAAAAAACTATAAAACAGATTAGAGATCCTACATGTGTTGAAACAGCTAGATTTTAGTTATTTCCATAGCATAATGCCATATGGAATCTTGCTATGGGGTAATGCGACTGACACTCAAACTGTCTTTGTTTGCATAAGAGAGCCATAAGAGCAATTTTTAACCGAGGTTCAAAGGAATCCTTTAGAGAAAAATGAGAAGAAAAAAAATGTTTATTTCCTTAAATTTTTCTTTTTAACTATGACTTATATTTACGAAATATTTTGTATGTACACATAAACAAAAATAGTTTTATTAAAAATAGTGAAACAGGAAACAGAGTAAATGGGGCCCTACACTCTATTGTGAAGAGTCAAAACGTGTCAAAAAAGGCACGTATGGCAATTCACAATGCTGTGTTGGTCCCTACTTTAACGTATGGTAGTGAAAGTTGGGTGTGGCAGAAGAAGCACGAGAGTAGAATAAATGCAGTAGAAATGCGGTCGTTAAGGAGTATGTTAGGGCTGAATCTGAATGACAGGGTGAAAAATTGTGTGATAAGAGAAGAGTGTGGTTTGCAAGATGATGTTGTGACCAGGATTAAGAAAGGAATGCTTCGGTGGTTTGGTCATGTGGAAAGAATGGATGAGGAAAAAGTGACAAAGAAAATTTATGTTGCAGAAGTGAATGGCAGAGTCGGAAAGGGACGTTCCAGGCGAAAATTTATCGACCAAATTGGCGATTTATTGAAAACGGGCCAAATTAGGAGTACCCTTAACCGACGAGCATGCATGCGTAGGTGTATGGATGTGAAGGAGGCGAGAGAGGTGTGTCAGGATCGTGCCAAATGGAAGTCTGTAGTCTCTGCCTACCCCTCTGGGTGACAGGCGTAAGTGTTTATATTTATGTTTATAAAAATAGTGATGTAAATTCTGTAAATAGGTATTAGGGACAAACACAAATTAGATATACCTACCAGTTACTCGACTTCAAAGTATCAGTAATTCTTCTATAGGGCAATGTGTACGCTTCTACAAAAAAGTCCTAGAAAAAGGTCTGCTACCTTATTTATCAAAAGGTTTAAAATATTTAGTAAGCTAAAATTGTTTAGTACGGGTTATTATCTATTAAAATGTATAACTGATAATAATCTATGGTAATGAGGTGGTCTAGTAACGGGAGTGGATGTCTAATAAAAGTTACAATATAATTGTTCTTTTATTTTTCATGAAAATATGTATAAGCTTGTATTATATGGAGGCTTTTAATAAACATTCTTATCACCATTTTGTAACTTTAACTTAAAATGAATGAATAAATAAATAAAAGAAGCAAGTAAATGTGGGATTTATTTACACAAACTTAACAGAAACATAAACTATTTAATTATTAACATCTATAAGTTATCATTTATAAACTCCTTAATATTATAATAACCCTTTATATACATAGTTAGTTTAATAAAAATTTTAAACGTTACTACAGTCAATGGATACCTCAGGCAATTTCAAACCAAGAAATTCTACAGATGCGTTGTCACCTCCGATGAATTAGATTGCTTGTAATTCTTTATTTTATTTTTTTTAAAGAATATTAACAATGCTATAAGCATTACTAATATTCCCCTTAACCACTCGTGGTAAGCTTAAATTGCTTGTGTTACGAGTGGTTCACGCCAGTAGTCGAATAGCGGATTCGAACCCACGACCTTTTTGAGTTCGCGGTCCGCGCCCTGCCGTTAGGCTACTGTCGCTTCACTTCAACAAAACAGTGCAAACATTGCTATTTGACGACAATGTGGTGATGATGATGATGATGATAGCTACACAGACGGGTACCTAGACAGAAATGGATCCTATCACCTAGTATTATTTATGATGATTCCGTGTATTTTTATACGTACAACCCTTCCGATTTACAATAGTCTCACTCAGCTGACAAACTCGGTCGTTCGAGCACTGCAAATGATCGTTAAAAAAAACTATTGTTCAAATTTCTTGCAACCCTCATAACCTTTGATTTCATTTCAATACAATATAGTTTTGAATAAAAAATAATGAAATTATAATTTGTAATAATGTCAATAAGAGTTAAAGCTATGCTGTATCTATATTATGGTTGTAGCATAAATGGGTCGGTTTAAAGAGTCCAAAAAGAAGGCCCTGGCTGTTAGTTTGGACATTGCGAAGGCTTTAATCGGGTTTTGCGCAATTTGTTTGTTTTAAAGCTCCCATCCTATGGACTTCCTGAGAAATTGTGTAATTCGATCACCAGTCCTTCTTACAGATCGGAGCATGAAAGTCGTAGTAAACTCTGCACGCTCCAATTACAAGCTCATAAATACTGATATTTCACAAGGCTGCATGCTATCACCAACGTTGTTTCTTCTACATAGCATACCAGTAACATTCATTGCTACGCGGACAACAGCACTGGTGAGGCTTTATACATTAGTCGTGCCAATATTTCTCGGGAAAACGTCACCGAGCATCGGAGCAAACGTATATCTGCAGTAGAGTCTTTGTTGAACAAAGTCTCGAATTGTTGGCGAATAAATCTAGTCCAGTGCAATCCTCTGAAGACACAAAAGTGCCTCTTTAGTCGTATCTTCTTCTAATTCTTTATAGGATAGGGTGACAAGCGAGCACACAGTCTACCTGATGGTAAGTGGTTGCTGTGGTCCATAGGCATCTACATCTATCCTCGATTGCAAATCAGAACGCAAATGCGTTGTCACCCGTAAGTACTAAGACGGAGTGCCTCGTTTCCATAAAAAAGGGTCTCTGGTTCTCTACAATCACCATACGAAATACAGCAGCATTAAGCTATGCTCTCACAGAATACCAGCATAAACTATTTTACGCTGGTAACTGCAGCATGGCTCTACCACGTATATTATATCTACCACCTATATTATATCTTCTATACTGAGTCCCTTTGTATTTCCTATCGCTTTTATCACGGAGAGTGTAGAGAATATCGCGATAAAACACAAGTTACTATCCAGATCGTCTGGTTGCTGGCGGTTCACTACGTTGCGATTTTTTTTATAGTCGAGGGGGCAAACGAGCATACGGTTCATCTGATGGTAAGTGATTATAGCCGCCCACGAACAACTGCAATACTTCCTCGAACGAAGCGTCGGAAACAGATGTCAACACAAAATTACAAATTAGAAACAAAGGAGTGTTCTAATTTGCACCCCGGGTAGGAGAGATACGAAGTATCAGCTGGAGAGGAACCCTGTGTCTCTATTAGAAAGAGCAAGGCCGTCTTCGCCGTTTCCAGATGGTAGTGGACGGCGGTAAGGTTTGAATGAAGTCCCCTGATGTTGCAGATACTGAATAGATCAGTTGCTGATCACGGATAGCGTGGCAGGGGTGGCCTGTGACTTATTGCTTTGTTTGCTCCGAGCAGGTTTAGTCTCGAGCGGAATTTCGATCCCCCCCCCCCAGAATACGCAGGGCAGCCTAAGCACCCACGCTCAGGAGTGGAGTAGCTTGTCATCGATGCTCAGCGAGGGATTCTCCAGGCGTGTCGGTACCCTCCTGGGGTATTCTTGCATTTCATTCAGCTACCATGTTGATAGGGGGGGGGGCTCCGACCACCTGCACTTACCAGATGAAATGAAGAAGCAAAGCCTCTACTTCACGCTGGTCATCTGTGAGGTCATAGTACCACCCCGGTTTAGGCCGGCCCATACGTGCTACAGCAAAGGCTGCCGCGTGGCTCTACCACTGTTAAATTTCTCGCACGAATTCTTTGTGAAATTGTTTACCACCGATGATTTTTCCGGACCGATACGTCTTAGGAACCATCAAGTAACAAGCTTACTCCTTTTTAAAAGGCCGACATCGTAGCTGCAAATTCTCTGGTGTTGCAGGTGTTCATGGGCGACAGTCAACACTTACCATCAGGTGAGTCGAATGCTTGTTAACCTCCTCTTCTATTCAATAAAATTGCTGTTAAATTCTGCTGTGTTGAAAGCAACTGCATTTTGATCCTTAATTGAGGAAAGATGTAGATATTTATGGGTTACAGCATCCACTTACCCTCAGGTGAACTGTGTATTCATTTGTCACTTTTATACTATAAACATTGTGAGCAATAAAACAAAGCATCCAAATTGCGCGTGGAGTTTATTTACAAAAAAAAAAAAACATCAATATATGAAAGCATCAATCTAAACGATTGGGTAATAGCCGTCACTCATGAGGAAGCAATTGTTGTTCGCAGTGGACATGAGGATGTAGCCGTCCTCGCCCCAGTCCTCGCCCCAGGAGTTCTTCACGATCCAGTAGTTCGTACCGTCGCGGATGCCGTATCCTACCACTGTGACCGCGTGGTTAATGGCGTACTTGTTGCTTTAAAACGAAATATTAAATTAAAATTTTAAAATAAAATACAATACAGTGCAATACTACAACACAATAATAATTTACTACGTACTCGGCGGTGAAGGAAAACCATCGTGAGGAAACCTGCGTGTCCGAGGAATAAGAAAAGAAAATATTTCGAAGAAATGTGAAGTTCGCCAACACGCATTGGGGCAGCGCGGCGGACATATTCTTGCCCTAAAACCCTCTCAGAAATGAGGGGAGGCCTGTGCCCAGCAGTGGGACGTATATAGGCTATAACTTTACTTTACTTTACAGTGCAATACTCCTTTTTGCCTTGTTGTAGCATATGCTAATTCTCTACTCCATATTATCCCGTGGGTGTCGTAAGAGGTGACAGAAGAAAATGAAACTGACGATATAAATCATCAAGTATGCCATCTACAACTTTTTATGCAACTAGGGCAGCGCCATTTAGAAATGAGGTGTAATATGTGACAATTTCGTAGTGGGGAAGTTAATTTGTTCGAAAAATTTAAAAGTTAATTTCTGTAATATTTTTTATTGATTTGATTAAAAATAAATAAACCAAACCACAGATATTCATGAAATTAGAACAACAAAAAACCTGAGGCATTGTTTTGTGTATTAAAATAATAGTCCAGAAACTGATAAACCTTTATTTAATACTAACTTCTTAATTAAAGATCTTTCTTCACCTAGATGTTGCTAGTGGACCGTTGTCAAGTCTAGTGAGCGGAAGATGATTAGTCCCCATTATCAACCTATGGGGAGGCCTGTGTTCACCAGTTGACTTTGATAGGCTGTAACGAAAAGCTACATACACCACCATTTACCATTAGGTTAGTAACAATTGAATTTGTTTTATTGTTTTGTATTCTAATTCTATATTCTATTTAAATAATCTAAAAAGAAGAAGAAATTATAATATTATACAGTCCACCGTAACAAAAAAGATTTACATTTTTCAAACTGATCGCAAACTTTTTTTGATGATTATATGTATATTTCCATTACCATGACTGTGTCGTTGGTCTAGTTATCGTAAAATTGACTGCTGTCTGTCTGCATGAGATTCCAGGTTTGAATCTCAGGTCGGACCAAAAAACGCTTGACTTGGGGGTAAGCTGGCGAACGCGTGAAGAAAGCGTTGCGAAAAGTGTGATTGGTCGAGGCGAACGGGAGTTGAGTGGGGGATATAAGCAAGAGAGAGCAGAGCGCGCGCACATTTTCTTCCTCTCTTTCTCTCATAGCCAGTTATTTTTCGTACTTTTATTTCGTTTTGAACAATTTTATGAATTAATATTTTGTCCAATACCTTAAATATTCTACGTTTAAAGTGAATAAAATTGTAAATATTTGTAGAAAATTCCTCTGTATATATATCCTCCTCCTTCTGTATATATATATATATATATACATATATATATATATATATATATATATATATATATATATATATATATATATATATATATATATATATATATATATATATATATATATGTACAGAAGGAGCTAAATAAGTTTAACTTCAGTTGTGTGGTCATAAGCACACTTGTTTTTTTGTCATGATATGACTCATATGACAGTGCGCTTGTGCTTGCGCGCATACACTTTGGACACTATAATCTTGATATAAGAGTATATATAAATGTATATCATCACTACAGCCCTTCACAAGTCCACTGCTGAACACAGGCCTCTCCCTAGGAATACCACAAAGCACATTCCTGAACCACCTGCATCCATCGACTTCCTGCATGTCTTGACATCTACGGTCGTCACTCCATTTAGTGGCGCTACGCTTCACCTGTCGGTATGAAGTTTCCACTCGAGAATCTTTATTCCCCATCGGTTGTCGGTTCTTCAAGCTATGTGGCCGGCTGATTGTCCCTTCAGCTAACTAAGCGAATGCTATGTATATATATAACTAAGGCTATGTTGTTCACTCTGGTTCTACTGCGGATATCCTCATTTCTGAGTTTATCACGCAGAAAAACCACGAGCATAGCCCTCTCCATAGGTCGCTGAACGTCCTTGAGCATCCTCATACGGCCAGCAGTTAAGGACCACGTCTCAGTTCCATAGGTCATCACTGGTAACACGTACTGGTTGTACAATCTAGTTTTCAGAGTTTGAGGTATACCTGACGAGAAGATGTGTCGTAATTTTCCGAATGCTGCCGAGCCGAGTTGAATCCGTCGATTGACCTCTCGGTCGAAGTTGGACTTACCTAGTCGGACTATTTGTCCCAGGTAAACGTACTTGTCAACAACTTCGAGCATAGTGCTCCCAATAACTACCGGCATAGGTGTGACATGGACATTACGCATGACTTTTGTTTTGTCCATGTTAACGGATGATGTTCAACGGATAGGCGTTGGGAGACTATTGATGTCATTGAGTATAGTGTTTATGTCCTTCAGCGATTCTGCCATAAGGACTACATAATCGGAAAATCGAAGGTGAGTGATGAACTCACCATTGATGTTAACACCGTATCATTTCCAGTCCAGTAGCTTGAAAATTTCTTCCAATGCAGCGGTTAAGAGTTTCAGGGATATTACACCACCCCTGTCTTACACCTCTTTCGTACTCTGGTTCTGTATTCGGATAGCCGTCGTAGCCCTACTGTACAAACACTTCAGCACTTCGATATATCGGCAGTCAACTTGGTACCGCTAAATGGACTGTAGCACCGCCCAAATTTCGACGGAATCAAAAGCTTTCTCATAGTCCACATAAGCGAGACAAAAAGGCAGATTGTACTCTCCGGAATTCTATACAATTTGCCGAAGGGTATGAATATGGTCTATGACGCTAAAGTGTTTTTGGAAACCGGTTTATTCGGGAGACTGGAAGTCGTTGAGTCTGCGTGCGAGACGATTCGTAATGACACTTAAAAACAGCACGTAGACGCGGCTTAGAAGAGAAATTGGTCTGTAGTTCTCCAAGAGAACGTAGTCGCCTTTCTTGAAGGACAATACAACCGCACTTCCGCTTCACGCCTTCGGAGTAGTGCCACCATGGAGAACGGAACTGAAGATCTTCTGAGAGACTTTAAGTATCAGTTTTCAACCCACTTTCCATCCTCGCCCGTGCACTTTCAGTTTTTTAGGTGCTGGAGAGCAATTCTAATTTCGCTCAGACTGACGTCCAGGATATCATCGGAATAGTGTCGCATAAAACTTGCTCTTGGATCATTACTCACACACAAGTGTGACTCCAACAATGATGTGTATAGCTGGCCATAAAACCTCTCAATCTCACTCAAGATGTCAAGTGTGCCGGAAACTATACTGCCACTCAACATTGATCTTCAGCGTCGACAGTTGGCTTTTTCTGGCAGACAGATCTCTGGCAATGACTTAGGATCTCTCATTCCGCTCAATCGTTTCTTCAATACGAGGTGTATTAAAGTTGTGTGAGTCCTACCACATGCTTTTGGAGATCTGTCTGTTTAGTTGACTGTGTGATGTCACAGAAGACTGGAGATTCATCTCCCGTCTAACAACCATGAGATAAGAGTGTGATCGGAGAGTTTTTGTGTTCTTCTGCGACGGATCTTGCAGAACTTAGCTTCAACCGCATGGACAGTTTGTCATTCACATTTTACACTTCATTGTAATCTTCTAGACACTGTGAAACGATTTTATAACTCGAACTGAAAGCTTTCGGAGTTTGGATTGGGGCACGAGGGGGACGGAGCGCTTTTTGTTTTATAAGATAGGGTTACAAACGAGCACACGGTCCACCTGATAGTAAGTGGTTGCTTTGGCCCATAGACATGTAAACTCGATTACGAATCAAAATGCAGATGCGTTATCACCCGTGAGAACTAAGATGGAATGCATCATTTCAAGTAAAAATGTTCTCCGGTTCTCTATACTCACCATACGAAACACAGCATCATTTAGTTACTAGTTTACGCTGGTATTCTATGATAGCGTGGTGCTTCCCGGTCGAGCCGACCCATTCGTTCTACAACTACGAGTATACTACTAATATAACTACAGCGTGGCTCTACCACGTATAAAAACGTTGACGTTGACTTCATTAAAAGACACCTCTCCAACTTAACGTTTAGTTTTACTGTGAATCACACTATTCGGTGATCGTTTCAGTTTTCACCCTTGCGATTACTGAGACATCACTGAACAGTTGTCGTCTAGTCGTTATAATGAAGTCAATCTCATTTTAAATCAAGTCGGGGACCAGGTCCACTTTTGGAAGCAAGAGTTCATCATAAAGTGTACCTCTTTCTCTCTGCCCTAGGCCTAGGTTTTGTTGCCCAATTCCGAATTTCCCTACTTTCAGCTCACCGTTCTCTCTTGTGCCTAGTTTTGCGCATTGGCATATTGCCATATTTGCCACCCTTGCCCAGCGGGTTGAAAACCGCAGTGTTTTACTGCTTTATCTGTTATCAGATTGATGCTGCTGTTCATCTTCTGCCTCAGTTTACCTCTGTCGCTTCTTACGACACCCACAGGAAGATATTGGGTAGTGTTAGTATTTATACCCGCCACTACACCGGGTGATATATATAATAAATATATAATAATAATAAATATAATAGTTATAGTGGCGCGTATAATATATATATATATATATATATATATATATATATATATATATATATATATATATATATATATATATGTGTGTGTGTGTGTGTGTGTGAGTATATAGAGTCAACGAAGCCTAGCCATCTGCGCAACAAAGGATTATAGTATCCGAGTTTTACTCTTGTAGTCAGCTGGCGCGACAATCCGACACGACAGTAGTGAGATCAGGTGCATGCTCTTGCAGCGGGAGTATCCATGTATTCATGTATCCATGAGGATTTTCTCATCATAAAAAATGGCGAAGGATCAACGATTTTAATTGCTTCCCGAGGTACGACAATGAAACACCCTCAATTTCGTAGCTCCAGGCTGCTACTGAGAAATTCTACTCAAGATAACCCAAAAATTACCTCTTTTGGTCGGATGCAGCATTCGAACCCTGGATTGGTCCAAAGACATAATCAAATACAACCGAATTTACGCCGAAATTATGACCCAGTTCTTCAGACAGGGCAGTAAAAAGATTGTATTATTTAATTAGATTTTCTTCTTAACTATTTATTAAATGACACAGGTATGTGACGAATTACAAAATTTATTACGGGGTAAAGCCACGCTGCAGCTATGTTACGGTTGCAGCAAAAATCAGTCGGCTCAACCGGCGTTCTTTCAGAATACCAGCGTGAAACAATAGTGAGTGAGTTCTCTACAGAACAGTAGAGCCTTTTAACTGGAAACGTGGCATTCCTTTTAAGTCCTCGGGGGTGACAATACATCTGCGTTTTGATTCTTAATTGATGATAAATGTAAATGTCTATGGGCTACAGCATCCACTTATCATCTCGTGAATTGTAGTGTACTTTCTCCATAAAAAAAAACTTACCAATCAGGTTCATAATAAATTCCACTGGAGTAATACAGCATTGTCGAGTCGGAGTTGATGACAACACTGACGGGGCCGAACTTGTAGAGTGCCGCCTTCAGTGCGGTCTCACTGAGCGACGGCACCTTAGCAAAGCCTTTGATGTTATAGATATTTGTCATATTCTTCATTTTGCAGTAACCGTCCTTTGGAAAAGAAAATCATTATCATCATCAGCATCATTAAAGACCATCAATTCCACTGCTGTACCATTGCCTCTCCAAAGGAGGTCAATGCTGCTGTGTTTCGTATGGTGAGTGTCGAAAACTGGAAACTCTTTTTACTAGATACGAGGCATTAAATCACAGTCCTCAAGGATGACAACGCGTCTCCATTTTAATTCTTAATCGAAGATAAATGTAGACTATGTTCAAGGGCCACAGTATCCACTTACCTTCAGATGGATTGAGTGCTCGTTTCAACTATAAAATATTTATATCTGTTATATTTTGAACTGTTGCCAGGAAGATGATGCTGTCCATCTCCTGGTTGGTTTCCTCTGTCGCCTCGTACGACACACACGGTATGGTAGAAGGTGGCGACTTCTCATTCGCTGCCACAACAAGGCGAACATTTTCTACTTCTTTTCTTAAGTGTAGTTCTTTCCACATTCGCTCAAAATAGAACTTATTTTGCAATAAAACTAATCTTCAGGATTTTATGGCGTTTAACTTTAATTTTTTTTATTTAACAAAACATGATCGAGCAAGTAGATGCGTTTGTATATTTGGGCTGCGTATTTAGCAGGGATGGGAGATATGATAAGGATATAGAACGACGAGTGAATGCGGGAAATAGAGTAAATGGGGCCCTGCACTCTATTGTGAAGAGTCAAAATGTGTCAAAAAGGCACGTATGGCAATTCACAATGCTGTGTTGGTCCCTACTTTAACGTATGGTAGTGAAAGTTGGTGAAAGTTGGGTGTGGCAGAAGAAGCACGAGAGTAGAATGAACGCAGTAGAAATGCGGTCGTTAAGGAGTATGTTAGGGCTGAATCTGAACGACAGGGTAAGAAATTGTGTAATAAGAGAAGAGTGTGGTTTGCAAGATGATGTTGTGACCAGGATTAAGAAAGGAATGCTTCGGTGGTTTGGTCATGTGGAAAGAATGAATGAGGAAAGAGTGACAAAGAAAATTTATGTTACAGAACTGAATAGCAGAGTCGGAAAGAAACGTCCTAGGCGAAAATTTATCGACCAAATTGGCGATTTATTGAAAACGGGCCAAATTAGGAGTACCCTTAACCGACGAGCATGTATGCGTAGGTGTATGTATGTGAAGGAGGCGAGAGAGGTGTGTCAGGATCGTGCCAAATGGAAGTCTGTAGTCTCTGCCTACCCCTCTGGGTGACAGGCGTGAGTGTTTATTTATGTATTTACAAAACACATGGTGTGCAGTAAAAAAGTTAAAATTAAACGCGATAAAACCCGTAAAATGAGTTTCATTCCATGTGTAGTATTCTTCATTGTAGAACTGCATTTATGACATTTTGAAGTTTACTCGAACGTAAAAAAAACATAGCATCTATTTTACAGTACCAATCAATATTAAATGGAACCAGTGCTATAAATCAAATATCGCAAATAAACATTGTACCTAACTATAAGTTGATAGAAAATCACGAAACCATCATTATTTTGTTAAAACTAGATTTAGTATATAGAAATAATAATAATAGTAATAATAAACTTTGATTCCAAGACAATTTTTTTATTGATACATGGGGAGACGCGCCCGATATAAAAAATAATAGTTGTTTTTAGACATATGATATTAATGCAAATGCAAGATAGCATATTTTGTTATGACAAATATCCATCATCTGTGAGAATTCAAAAACTTCTTTGTAAAACAGGCATAGAGAGACGGAGGTGAAATAAGAAATAGATCGAATTTTGCTAACTTTGTCACGAAACAGCATTTAATGATGTTCCTACCTCCGCGTGCTTAAAAAGCTAGAATAAAATATCTGTAGAAGGTATGTGTTTCCATGTTTAATTAAAAGTGAAATACAGCTTACTTAATAAACAAGCTTAAGAATTTTAGGAATCACAGTTGAATTTTGGCAACCGAGCCATCACTAGTTTAATACATTTACCTGTGCTAAGTATGGTCCGTACTCCCTCTGCGTTGGTATGCCGTGCAACGTTACATACTGAAACGTCTTGTGCAGGAAACCACCGTCGCAGCCGTGGTTAGATTTTTTATTAATATTAATTTGTTTGCTGAAAATTTTTAAATATAATTATTTCTTTTTTTCCCTCACCACGACCGGGACTAAGGTATTTGACGTCCTGATGTCATAGTTATTCCGGGATATCAGGATTAATATTAGCAAAATGAGTACATTACATCTTGAATTCTAGCTTTGGATGTCTTGGGTTAAGATTTAATATTTAAACCGATAATACAAAGATGTAGATATGATTGTCTTTAAAATCAAGAACATGTAAATTCCGCCAATACGCAGACACGCGTCAGGCTTTTTCTGCTCCAATAACATTCTTAGAAATGATAATAATAATAATAATGTCCTCCAGACCGAATTTCAGCCACGGCGGCCTGCCTCAACGGAGGCTAGCCATTGGCGCAGGACAGGATTATAGTGCCCAAGTGTATGCACAAGCCCAGGTACATTTTGTATTCCCTCATTCTTATAATCCGATGGGACGGTAAACCGACACGACCGGAGAGATATCAGGCACAGGACCAACGGCTTTACGTGCTTTCCGGGACACGAAGGTGAGACACCGCCAACTTTCAACTTTCAACTTTGTTTATGGACGTAATATTGAAAAAAACATTATACGGTATTGTTGGTATTGAGTGAATTCACAAGAATTGAGTGAATAAAATTCAAGTTAAAATTACTTAAAAGTGTACTATGGTGAAATCGACTATTGTAATAAGTGTATAAAAAACGTTTTCTACTTAAATCAATAAACTAAGTGAAATAGTGATTAATGTAAATTAATAACTTTTTTAATAACTACTGCCAAATCTTTCGAATTAAGTTAATCATATACGGACCATTTGTTTCGTTAGTTACTATTAACTCAACTTGGCTCATATGTCGCAACGTATGCTATAACGCATGACTCAAGTTCCGAACCCAGTGAAAAAAATTTTATAATTAATTTTATCTATAATTTATTTTAGGCTTTATATAACTAAACTAATATTTTCCTATTTTATGAGTGGAATTGTTGCATCTAGACAGTTACAAACGATTGATTTTCTTATTAAGTTTCGACAAAACTTTATTTTTTATTTTTTCCTTTTTCTCGAACTGTCAGTGAACTTTATTTTTAGTGCTTAGAAAATTTGTATTATTATTTTTTTTTATTTTTTTTATTCTGGTTATTGGTAAAGAACTAAAAAAATGGCTGATCAAATATGTAAGGAATGTAATGACACAATCATTGATAGAGAGTTTTTGATTTGTTCCGACTGCGATGAATACTATCATTTGAAGTGTACAAATATTTCACCGAAATTATATTATTTAAAAAGTCCAATTAAAAGAAGACGATTCCAGTGTAAGTCATGTGTAAAAAAATTACAAGATAATGACTGCGTGCTAAATCAGTCCTCACCTCTAACTGAGAGCTTAGAAACGGCTACCAGAAATGTTACTACACGTAAGAAAATAATTACAAATAAAGTAGCCTCTAATTCATTTGGCTCCTTATCTGTTGATGAGAACTATGAATACTCTTCCTTAAAATCAACTCCAACACACGTGGACATAGGTGGAAGTAATCTGACTGATAAAAATACCAAGGATTGTATAAGCAAATTAAATGAAAAATTATGTGAACTACAAAGAAAACTTGATAATGCAGACAAGGAGATTGAAGACCTGATATCAGAAAACTATATATTAAAAAAAGAAATAGCCGAATTTAAGTCGAAACCTGAGAGATGTGTGTGTATATTATCATCTAAGATCAAGAACGTATCAAATACAAATAGATCACAAAGCATTAACGAAGTAGAATAAAACCTATTTAACAGTGCTGAAAATAAGGAAACCCCTAATAATATTGAAAGTAAAAACCATAATTCAACAATAAATCAAAAAAAACAACACAAGGTATGCGTAAATGAATATAAAAAAATTAATGGGGAAAAAAAGTAAGCAATGCAGAACTGATGAACCGATACCCTTGAAGCACACTAGAAAGCTATGCATAATCAGCAGCAACAACAAAAATAATATAAAAGGCATTGCACAAGACTATTTCTCTAAAGATTTTGAATTCTGTCATTATATAAAAACAAATGCTGGTATATTAGATTTAATTCAAGGCCTTGACAAAAAACTGATTAATTACACTTTACAAGATTATTGTGTTGTTCTAATTGGAGATTATGACTTCAGGATGTCACAAGATTATAACAGACTAGTGGAGAGCTTAAGGCAAACCATACAATGCATCACTCACACTAATATAGTAATTTGCATACCAACTTTTAGATGTGCTAAAGATACAAATATTTTTAATAGAAGAATCGAAAACTTTAACTATTTGCTGTACAAAAATATTAAAGCCCATGAGTATGCATATTTACTAGATTCAAATTTGAATCTCACCTATGATTATCACATGTTCTCTGGTAAACTTGGTGCCGTGAACAATAAAGGCATGAGAGCTTTGTTTGCAGACCTTAAGAGTTTACTATCAGAAATAGAGAGTTCGTATATGTCTATAGACTACCATAAATCCAACAAAGGGACGCAAACTGATAAATTAGTTCAGCAAAGTGTTAGTGAAAACGTTTCGGATGAAAAATTATCTAATGATGACTTTTTTTCGAAAACAAGAAAAGTAAATTTCTGTATGTAATGCATCAAAATATATGTGGTGCGCTAGGTAAAATGGATAATATTGAGATCATATTGGAGGATTTTTCAAGTGAAGGAAACTGTATTGACGTTATTTGTCTAACTGAACATTTTGTCAAGAATGGACATGAAACCAATTTAGTATGCAATTACTACAATCTAGCTGCCATATACTGCAGAAAAAATTCAAGAGGAGGTGCATGTATTATGACTCGAAGAGGACTTAATTACCGAGAATTACCTGAAATTACAAGAAACTCTCTCAGTACCGTATTTGAATGTTGTGCTATTGAACTTGTGTCTTTTAATGTTATAATTATTTGTTTATACAGAACTCCTAATTATAGTAATATCTCTAACTTTTTCGAAAAACTTGAAACTTTGTTGGATAGGGTTAGCAAATATAGAACTAAGAAAACTATAATATGTGGTGATTTTAATATTGATGTTTTAAAAAATTGCATGACAACTAATGTATTTATTAATCTTTTGTCGAGTCATAACTTTAAAATTGAATTCATGGATGCGACTAGATTACAAAGTGGAACGTGTATCGATAATATCATTCATAATTGCCGTGGGTGTAAAAGCAAAATTTTACATTTAGGATTATCCGACCACACTGCTCAAGTGTTGCAATATCCTATCACAATAAATTACTCCTGCTTGCGATACTGGTTTATCAAAAGACGTGACTATAGTATTGAAAATCTAACCAAATTTAGAGAATGCCTGGAAAGCTTATCCTTTTATGATATTTATCAAAGCAATGATGTAAACGAAGCGTACAATTTGTTTTATGAATTGATTAAACTCTTTTATGACTTATGCTTCCCGTTCAACCTAATTAAAGTTTCAGCTCAGCGGAAGCCATTTTGGATTACAAGTGGTATCAAAACATCGTGTAAACGCAAAAGGAAAATGTACTTTCAATTAAAATCTAAAAATGATAAACTTAAATATAATGCTTATACAGCACTTTTAAAAAAAGTTATTAATAAATCACAATGCATTCAAAACAACAATTACATCAACAAGTCTAAAAATATAACAAGATCTACGTGGAAGATAATAAATTCAAATAATTTCACAAAGCCAAAAGAAATTATGTAGAGTGTAACTTATAAAGGGAAAACAATTACTAAACCAGGTGATATTGCAGAAGCTTTTAATGATACATTTATGAATCCTGTACAGAACTGCAAACCAATAAATTACAGAAGTAACATTGAACGTATATCAAATTCATTGTTTATGAATCCAACAACGCCCGATCATATAGTTAAAATAATTAATAGCTTAAAAAATAAAACAAGTGTTGGTCACGATGAAATAACCACTAGAGTATTGAAATTTTGTAATTTTCAGTTTGCTCGGCCGCTTAGTCACATTATCAACTTAACTATAAATAAAGGGATTTACCCTGATAAGCTAAAAATAACAGTAATTAAACCTATTTTCAAGAAAGGGGATAAAGAGGATTGTAGGAACTATCGCCCAATTGCTCTGGTTTCTGTCATTTCCAAAATTTTTGAGAAAATCATATATACAAACATATATAATTATTGCGAACGATTTAATTTACTAGCAGACGAGCAATACGGATTTAGAAAGGGTAGATCTACGAATCTAGCCATATATCACATGATAAAAGTTGTATCGGAATGCCTTGACGATCGCGTTCCAGTAACTGCTATTTTTATGGATATGTCAAAAGCTTTTGATTACGTAAATCATGAAAAGCTTCTGCAAAAGTTATATATGTATGGTATCAGAGGACCTATATTTGGTCTTGTATCGTCATATTTAAATAACCGATTTCAATGCACAGAAATCTCTTATGTTAATGAGGAAAATCGATCTGAAGTGCAAGTACGATCTCAGTCACAGCTTGTAAAGTGTGGTGTACCCCAAGGAAGTATACTTGGGCCTCTTCTTTTTCTATTGTACATCAATGACCTACCTAGACATGTGCAGCATGAAATGATCCTTTTCGCAGATGATTCTACTGTTATGATAAAAAACAACAGCAATAAACCATACGAATGTGTTATTGCTGAAGCTTTGTCTGATATTATTAATTGGATGAAAGCTAATGATCTCGTCATAAACCTAGATAAGACAAAATATATGCAGTTTCATCTTCCCCAAAACCGGAAACAAGAGACTGTTTTTGTTAAGTATGAAGGGCATTTGATTGAGCGAGTAAAACAAATACGTTTCCTTGGTGTATTGGTTGATGAATGTGTAAGCTGGAAACCGCATACCGAATTTCTTGCAAGTAAAAATAGTAAATTTGTTTATCCTCTAAGAAAATTAACACAAACTGTCTCACAAAAAGCTGCACTTACTGCTTATCATGGATACGTTGCCACCAACTTAAGATATGGTATCATACATTGGGGAGGCGCGGCTGATGTTAACCTGTTGCCATTGTTTAGTATGCAAAAAAAGTGTCTCAGAGCAATGTTTGGTGCCAAACAAACAGACAGTTGCAGACCTCTGTTTGTAAAATTAAAAATTCTAAATCTGCCCTCGTTGTACATATACCACGCCTGCTTATTCGTCAAAAGTAATTTACATTATTTTAACTCGCACATTGCTAAGCACCCGAGGCAAACAAAGAGTAGTGTTACTGTTATACCGTTTCACACATCTAGGACAGCCTTTTTCTCAAAAAGTTTTTATGCATTAGGACCAAAAAATATATAATCATTTACCTGACAAATTAAAAGAATTAGAAATAAAAAAATTTAAGAATAAATTATTAGAATTATTGACTGAAAGATGTTTTTATTCCTTAAAAGATTATTTGAGCTACAAACTTACATTTTAAATTAATTGACATTTGAAATATTTTCTGAATTATGTTTTAAGCAAAGAGTATTCAAATCACTACGTTTTAGTTATAAGCTTACATGTATTTTGATATATCAATATTCCATTCATAGACTTAGATTATACTGGTATAATACCATTGTACTTTTGATATTATTATTTATAATCCACTTTTGTTAAAATAATTCATTGTATGACATTATGCTTTATTATCCGTGTTATTTGATTTGATTTAATGAATAATGAGATGATGTTTTAAGTTCCATAATTTTAATAATATTGTAAGCCTTATCTAGGCAGGTTGTGGTGATACTTAATTATTTTATAGTGTTAAATCTCTTAAACCTACAACTAGCACAATAAATGACTTATTCTATTCTATTCTATTCTATTCCTGAATTTCTTGACAGAAAAGATAAAGATTGATTTTTTTCCCCGACCCGGGATAGAAATGATAGAAGGCCTGTGTCAAGTGCTCGTAAATACCATTGCTGGTCTTGAGATCCCGGGTTCGAATCTCGGCTCGGGACTAAATCAGTTCTTGTGTATTTCTGTCAATAAATTCTTAGTAGTAGTCCAGAATTAGGAATTTGGCGGTGTTTCACCCCCGTGCCTCAGAAAGTACGTACAGCCGTTGGTCCTGCGCTTGATAGTTGTGTCGAATTACCTTCCTATCGGACTATGAGAATTAGAGAATAGAGAGTGCACCTGTGCTTGCACATACACTCGGGCAGTATAATCCTGTCCTGCACCGATGGCTGTTCTCCGTTGAGACTGGTTGCTGTGACCGGAATTCGGTCTTGGGGCATTATTGTTATGTAGACCAAAGCGTGCACCGCAGCACCCAAGTGCGCTGTAGTGAGTAAAGAGGGTTGCCGTGAGACGCTCCTATTTACCATTATGCGGAAACTAAACTTATGTATTCGCGGGTACAAAATAAACGGATTTTCAGCAGTAGCTGTAATTAATAAAGAAGCGATATTAACGCTTAAAGATCAATGCGGAGCAAGAAATGACAGTTAGCGGTGTCAAGCTCTATTTCAAGCTTTGGAAGAGTTTTCCGGACCGATGCGACTTAGGAACCTTTAAGAAGACAGCTTACTCCTTTCTAAGAGGCCGGCGATGAAGCTGCAATTCCCCTGGCGTTCCGATTGTTGATGAAAGGTGGTAGTCACTTACCATCAGGTGAGCCATATGCTCGTTTGCCCACTCTTCTATAACAAAAAAGAATGTGCGGAGATCACCAAACTTGTCTAGTCGCCGTTGTATTTCATTTCCATTTTTTTTAAATAAAAATATGTTCTTGTGTGTCTGCGGCGGCGCTGTCGTCGCACCACTAGCGAAATACACCGAGCCTAAATCGCGCTATCAAATTTCCGAATCATAAACAGTATATATAGTATAGCTCCATAGTATCACACGGAGCGTTGGCCGCTCCCCGGGCCTTGCCCGGCGGGAGATCTCCCTTTTTCCTTTTGCTGACACATGTCAATATAAACATAAAAACTCAGCTTCATTTTGTGGATTTTTTTTGTGCCTGTCTACCTAGTATCATTATACCTTATTTCGTCTATTTAGGGCGATGAGACAAAATAACTTGTAAGTGCGCCGCGGACTGAAAAAGTTTGGGGACCCCTGATGTACTGTCATTAGTATTTCTTACGATGAAAAGTAAATTATTTGTTACCTCCAAGAGCAGTCAACTAAGGACTGTTCACTAAGGTCGATATTCCGCCCGCCATTACTTCTTGATATAGCCGCTTCGATAGCAGCCGTGGCTGCAAACGCCCAGCAAGACCCGCAACCTCCTTGAACTGTATTACGATATAAGTCAATCAGTTTGTATTATTAAATAATCAAAAATATGTTGTGTGTGTCTTGAAACTACTGTGTGCTGACAGCCTGAAACCGAGTTTCTTTATTTAAAAACGTTTCTTTTCCTTTTACGAATCGTTTCTCAGAATATGAAGTGAAAGAAGAAAGAAAGAAAGTAAAACTATATATTTGATACACACATTTTACACACATTCCAAAAATATACATACACCAATATAAGACAGATTACGCATTTACAATATTTACAATACAATTAAGTACATGCACATCATTAATCTATATAAATAAATAAAATTGAAGAGTCTGTTTATAATGTCCAAATAACCCTTTACCTTTTACTGAATGCATATGAAAGTATATACGGTACTTATAAAAATAAAGAAATTAAATTTTTTTATCTGTCTGTTGAATGTTTATCTCTCTGTCTATCTGTTTGTTCCAGTTCATCACCAAAATGGTTGGAGATATTTCGACGGGATTTTCACTGGCAGATAGCTGATGTTATAAGAAGTAATTTAGGCTACTGTTATTTTAGAAAAAGAATTAGAGTTCTACGCAAATAGTTAAATCCCATGAAATGCAATCGTATTAAATTGTATATATGTTGATAAATCGCCGACGAGGTCACGGGAACAGGTAGTTAGTAATAAAACAAAAAAATGTGACGTCAAATGGGTTTCCAACTGCTGAGTTGAAGATCCATTCGATGTCACATTTTTTTAACTGCTGAGTTATGCTATTACCGTTGCTAAGGCAGCTTTTCAGTTAGAGCCTTGTAACTTCACTGACAAGTTAATGTGTGATCTTTCATGAGTAACTATGAGTTACAGAGTTTTTCATCATGAGGATGAGGAGATAGGTTCTCATGCATCCCACTTTACGAACGGCATTAAGACAATAAATTTGGTAGGCATCTTTGACCTTGTCACTTTGCAGGGTCACAGGCTAGGGTGAATATGATTTGAATTTCGATAGATTTTAATTTATTTATTTATTTCATGCAAAATTTTTGTTTTTATTTTTTGTGAAATATCAGTACCTTAGGCTTCTACTCCGTTCACATGTTACAACCTTTTTTTTTTCAGACAGCAAAAAAAGGTCGTCCATTATATGTTGTTGCATCCATATGTATCCATATGTACACAAAATAATGTCACGGTAATACATATTGGTCGCCTTTAACCTTCTTGTAATAGCCTCTTATGACACCAAAGGAAGGAAATAAGGTCTTAGGTTCTTACGTGGTCGCAACACGGATAGTCACGTGGTCAACTTACATTTGATAGACGATATTATACCATCTTGTCTCATATCATAATTGTTTGGTAGTTCTTCTTTCATAGCTTTTAGTTCTTCTTCGGAGAAAGGAAACAGCTCAGTACCAAGATCGCTAGGGTCGGAGGGCCATGTTCCGGAAAGGTGTACCAGTTCATGGTCAAAACGATCAGCAAATTTGTTAACTTCTAATTTATAGCCCAGGTTTTTGCGATTGTGATGTACGATGCGTCTGAAATAGTTGTCTTCCTGAGTAAGTGTGACTGAATCAACTACATTAAAACACATGTTTCAAAGATTAAAAAGTATGTCTCACCTCCAATTATCTTCAAAGATTAATTTTCTTAGTTCATATTCTTTCTCCTGATAATTCTTTCCATGATAATTTTTATATCTGTAATAAAATATTTTAGCTAAATTTCAATCAGAATCAATATTACGGATTTTATACACTTTCGTAAAAATATATTTGGTTTACCTTTGGAAAGCTCTGTTTACATCGGAATCAAGATGAGGATGGAGGTTTTCTAGATCCCTTTTTAGGTTGGTACCTAATGGTTGTGCATCTTCACATTCTTTAACTGAAACAAAATGATTGAATATAAAGTCATTTACATTTTTTATAGAATGAAAGTGACAATGACCAGACGGTCCATCTAATGGTAACGTGATCGATAGACATCTACATCCTCCTCGATTGAGAATCTACCGTCTACAGTAATTAAAAAATTGATTGAGCGGAATGATTTTTAAAAACGAAGGAATAAATTAAGATTTATTTTGTGAACAGAAACATTAGGTTAAAATTTCAAACATACTTAAGATTCTTAATTGCAATCCGGTGCTAATTTAATGGATTTATTATTAATGAATGAAAATACTAAAAAAAATACGCATGAAAACACTTAAAAATTTTCGTGGTAGAGCCATGCTGTAGTTATATTAGTAATATAGTTGCTGCACGAATGTGTCGGATCGATCGGGGAAGGACCACGCTCTCACAGAATACTAGCGTAAAATAATAGCTTAATGCTGCTGTGTCTCGTATGGTGAGTGTGGTAGTGGTAGAAAAGAGGCACTCCATCTTAGTCCTCACGGGTGACAACACATCTGCATTTTGATTTGTAATCGAGGATAGATGTAGATATCTATGAGCCGCAGCAACCACTTACCATCAGGTGGACTGTGTACTCGTTTGTCACCCTATCCTATAAAAATGTATTTCATTCTATATATTCTTAGTCTTCAGATCCTTATAGAAAGATAATCTACTACCCCGTATCTTTTTTTCTAACTCATGAAGATGCTGCTGATCATCTCCTGTTTCATTTCGCCTATTTTAAGAACCAAGCGTTTTTTACGTGATAAAGCCACGCTGCAGCTATATTATAGTTGTAGCGCGATTCACCTCGACCGGGCCAGGCCACGGTCTCACAAAATACCAGCGTAAAATAGCAGCGTAATGCTACTGTGTTTTGTATGGTGAGTGTAGAGAATTGGAGAATTTTTTTACTGGAATCGAGGTATTCCATCTTAGTCCTCAGGGGTGACAACGCATTTGCATTTTGATCCGTAGTTGAGGATAAATGTGGTAGTCTATGGGCCACAGCATTCGCTTACTATCGGGTGGACTATGTCACCCAATGATATAAAAAACACGCATGTAGTTTGTATTTTTTTATTTTTTTTTCAGTTGTATAAGTTAGATGCTGTCCTATTTAACGTATTCATTTCCCTCCGTCGCCTTTTATGATAAGGGGTAATAGATTTTCTTACGTCGCCACTACACGGGCGCGATTTGCGAGCCTTCACCTATGATCAGATGGATCGTGCCTTTGTAAGTTTTTTTTTAATATAAAAGTTTACAATCGAGTACACAGTCGACCTGATAAGTACATGCTGTGGTCCAAGGACATCTACATCTATCCTCAATTACGAATCAAAATGCAGATGCATTGTCACCCCTGAGGTCTAAGATTGAATGCCTCGTTTCCAGTAAAAAGGTTCTGCGGTTCTCTATACTCACACATACTAAACATAACAGCATTAGGCTGTTACTTCACGCTGGTATTCTGTGAGAGCGTAATCCTACTCCAGTCGAGCTGATCCATTCATGCTGTAACGATAATACAGCTGCAGCGTGGCGTATATTTGTACCTTACAAATGATACTTACAAATGAACTCATTTTTGAAGAAGCCTTAGAGGATATATGGATAAAGGAAAGCTGTCAAAGAGTAAGAAGAAGACAAAGAAAAAGTGAACTTACTTTTGCCAACGTCTAGGTCATCCGAACTCACATTGGTGCTAAAACTGTAAAAGTTGGTGACGTAATGGCGGTCAAGAGCTGCATTCAAAATATTGAACCGCTTTTTGAGGAATCTGAAAAGCTGATTAATATTAGATGACGTCACGACCATGATGACTCTAATGTAAACTATGCTGTTATTTCTAAACCTTTTTATCTCATTTAAGTACAGTGCTGGTTGATTTTCCATGATACGACACGTTTGTTGATCTCAATACCAGACGTTTCTTACTTTTGATTGCTTCCCGTCACCAATGGGTCTAGGTAAAATACGTCTGGCGTGGCGTTAAAGAGATGGTTACAATGTCGGCAGCCGTGAGAGTTTCTTTCTAGGTGGTGAGATTCCTTTTCTGCCGGGGAGTCCATCTAAGTTGTTATCACCCTCTGACCTATTGATGGCGAACAACAGTGCGTGGACTGCAGTGTTCCGGTCGAGAGCCAGTATGGTTACTAGCTGTGAGGCATTCCATCTTAGTTCTCAGACGGACTAATTGCTTCATAACACTGTTAGAAATGAACGCGAGTGACCCTGGCTCGATCCCCATCGGCACCAATGAAATTGTTAATTGCAATTTAAGTGCAAATTTACCAAGTATTCGGCGGTGTAGGAAAACATCTATGTAGTGTAGTGATATCTAATCTGCAGATGTCAATTTGCTGAAGTAGCCTAAGTGGCTATTAGGTATGAGTACTGTAAGCTTCTTTGTCGGGTTTATTTTATAGATCGTGTAGTTGCAGAGTTAGAATATCCACTACCCCATTTCGATTTCGTGGATGTTGTAAGTGGCGACAAAGAGAAATAAGTCAGGAGATAGGTAGCAGCATCTTCCTGATAAGAAACCAAAATTTTGCAAAACTTTAGTTGCAAATCCGCCTGCCAGTGGCAATTATGGCAAAAACTCCCCTATGAAGCGATCTACGACGACTACCTTTAGCAGTACACTTTTCTAGATTGTAACGGATCGATCATAGATTTAATTTTATGTAAAGAATATACCTGACAGGAATGGACTGATTATCTTCATTTTTGTACACGTAGATAATGTTTATGATCCTGTGAATTTTTTGTTCCTCTATGACTGACTTCCAAATCTGCACCAATTTACCATCATATGTCTTTTCCCCTGTTAATCGATTTTAAATAATCACTCGACTACACGTAATTAGTAATGAGGTATTGGTTATAAAATAAAATTCCAAAACAAATGCAAGTTTTTACAGGATAGAGATGTGCTACAGCTATATTATGGTTTTAGCACCAAGGAAACATGTTGCGGCTTAAAACAATAGCAAATGCCGCTGTGCTTCATACGGTAAGTGTACCGGATACTGGTACATTTTTACTGGAAAGGAGGGATTCAATTTTAGTCCTCAGGTTGACCTACGCACCTGCATTTTGATTCTTAATCAAGTATGGATGTAGACGTCTATGGTTTGTGTTTTTCCGTTATACGTGGTAGAGTTACACTGCGGCTATATTATGGTTGTAGCACGAATGGGTTGGCTCGATCGGGGAAGGACCACGTTTTCACGGAATACCAGCGTAAAATAGCAGCTTACATACAGACATCACATGACATACTGCTATGTTTCGTATGGTAAGTGTAGAGATCCGGAGACCCTTTTTTACTGGAAACGAGGCATTCCATCTTAGTCTTCAGGGATGACAACGCATCTGCGTTTGGATTCTTAGTCGAGGATAGATGTAGAAGTCTATGGGCCACAGCATCCACTTACCATCAGGTGCATTGTATGCTCGTTTGTCACCCTTTTTCTATAAAAAGAAACACTACGTGCACTGATGTCTTTGTAGTTTTTTGTTTGAAGTTGATTGCAGGTATCCATGGGCTGCAAAGCTACTTACCATCAAGTAAATTATAAGTTTGATGATCATATTTCAAGAGGTGGATTCCTTTACGCCGCGCCGTCATAACGCGGTTTGTACGTACTTATTGCATGCCTTTAAGCGCAAAGCGGGTAGGTATGTTCTACTAGCGTCTTAGAATCATCCGAATCCGAAGTTTTATGCGACGAAGTACAAAAGATTAATTGCTATTCTGACATTAAAAAAGTGGTTTAAGTGGCTTATGGTGTAGATTTATTACGTCCGCATATAGAGATAAACACGATAACTTTTGAGAATATCAAATATTCAACTCAATCTATTTTTTAATCTCTTCATCTATGATGCGTGAAGCCATGGAATGTAAATGGCAGTTTTATTTAGTTTTGTTTAGTTATAATGAATTTGTTACCGCTGATAACTTCCGAAATTTTTGGTGTAGGAGCAGCATTGTAATAAAATATTTTACTAAATACGGATTACGGATACACTTTGACCCACTCCGGGCTCGGCCCCCGTCGTGAGTGGGTTACTGCGGCTCGTGATGAAAAATAACGATCGCTGTAGAAATACAAAATATTCCCAAAACGAAATTTGATACATACTTGGCCAAGGTAAGATATTTTTAATATTTTAATAACCACAGATTTTCATTACAATATATTGTTTCGCTAAAAGTACGTAGGATTTATATATACCTAAATACACTTGTACGTCCTGGCCTTATGGAGTGACCTGAAGGTGTACTTTGGTTAATGCTAAATTAAAATACTGGTTATGACTAGATGAATTTTTTTTGAAAACAAAATAAAGTAGATGTAATTTTTGATGGGTTAGTTAAAAAAAAACTAGTTTTTACTGTAATGCCTGAGTACAAATACCTAAAAATTAAAGTAATATTTAAGTTGATTTCCGATCGTTTTAAGTTTTTCAATTAACAATAAAATTATTTTCGAATCTTAAGAATAATAACATAGTACAATTAAAAAAATATATTCTATAATTAATTGAGAATATTTTTCTACATATTTTCGCGCTCATACGATCATTATGAGTCGTACAATTTTGGATTTTCCACACTTTTTTTATTGACGTTTGGCATAAAATCCTATACCTTTAAACGAGCAATTCTTGTTATATATAATATATAATCGGGATCTCGGAAACGGCTCCAACGATTTTCATAAAATTTTGTGTGCAGGGAGTTTCGCGGGCAATAAATCGATCTAGCTAGGATTTATTTTAAGAAAATGTCTTTTAGTCCGTGTTTTTAGGCAATGAAAAACTGCTACAATATTCTTAGAATAAGAAGGTAAATTTTGACAGTTTGTTAATGATTACAAATAGCTTAATTGGTATATTGGGCGGTCACAAAATCGTAATACCATAGTTCGAGCCCAGACCGACCGACCCACTTTTTTTAATTATTTTTAAAAATAGATTTTGAGAAAATCTATTTTTTCGAGCCGTTTTTTTTAGTATTTTTTAAAAACACGAAAATTTAAATTAAACTAATTGCACTCATGATTTTTTATTCAAATAACCAATTCAGTTTTTTCTATTATGTCGCTAAGATCAAAAATATTATTCGTATTTCATCATTTTTCACACGAATTAAAAAAAACCGAGCGAAAAATACCGAGCAAAGCTCGGTCAACCGGGTACTTATCGGAAAGTTAGAAGTAATAGTAATAACGTTATTTGTGAAAACTTGTGTGTTTTTAAAATTGACGTATAACATGACTGCTTAAGGCATGCATATTTGGATACACCAAAAGTTTTTTTTTATTTATACATGATAGAGCCACACTGTCACTTTTTTAAGGATGTAGGACGAATGGGTCAGCTCGACCGGGGTAGGACCACATTCTCACTGAATATCAACATAAAATAGCAGCTTAATGCTGCTGTTTCGTATGGTGAGTGTAGAGAACTGAAAGCCCTTTTTTACTGGAAACGAGGCATTCCATCTCAGTCTTCAAGGGTGACAAGGCATATGGATTTTTAATTGATGATAAATGTAGATGTCTATGGGCCACACTCACTTCCAAGAGTACTCTGTTCTCACTTATCACGCTTACTCTATATGTTAAAAAATAACAATACGTAGATGATAGAAACGGATTATTGACCAGATGTCTGATGAAGAATAAGAATGAAATAGGAGAATCTCATTATTTGTACCGCTGTTGAACTAAGAAGAAATAATACCTTGATAAGTAAAATCTTCAACAGATGGTAAGAATTTCGTCATTGATTTTTCTGCCCATTCTTGCTTACAATGCAAAATGCTATCTAGGTTATCTTCAGTCTTCGGATAGATCTATAAAATAGAATAAAAGTTTTACTTTTTTTCTACAAGCTAGGTTTTTATTTATAGGATAAGGGTGACAAACGATCACACAGTGCACCTGATGGTAAGTGGCAGCTATGGCCCATAGACATCTAGATATATCCTCGACTACGAATCAAATGCAGATGCGTTGTCACCCTCGAGGACTAAGGTGGAATGCCTCGTTTCCAGTAAAAAAGGTCTCTGGTTTTCTACACACCGAGTCAGCTTGCCGCGAGTTCGCAGCACACTCGCCTCGTTATGAACTCGCTTACAAATCGCCAGTGTGATAAAGCTCTTAAATGGTATCATAATGCTGCTGTTTCATATGGTCAAATATGGGACCTCTTTTACTTGTAAGGGTCAGTTCACACGAGACGCAACGCGCCGCGACTTGTCGCAACGCGACGATTCTTGAATAGGCCAGTGGTTTCGCATCGCGCAGCGCGTCGTCGCGAGATGCATCGCGACGTCGCGAGGCGCAGCGTGAAATCGTGTTATTCCATTTATCCACCCTAGGGAATCTACCCTAGGGTGAATACTTGGAAACGCATGTTCATCTATCCCACCCCAGACGGGGTGGATAATTGAACATCTAAGTGTGTAAGTGTGTATAGGCAAATATACCGTTACCGTTACACCCTATTAAAGTACACTGCTGAACAAAGACCTCCCCTGAAGGTTACCTCATATGGGGATATTTGTCATAGTTGCCACGCTTGGCAAGTTGGCAAGTGGATTGGCAACTGCAGTTTTATAATTATTAGGAAGACGCTCCTGTCCTTCTCCTGATTTGTTTCCCTTTGCGCCTTTTACGACACCCACGGGGTGATATGAAGTAGTGGATATTCTTACACTGCTGTTACATGGTACGGTCTATATACACGTACACATCTATTATATAAAAGTTAATTCTTGTTTGTTCGTATTTTATGCGCTGCCATACACGTTGCGTAAAACTTTGTCGAAATATTGCTCGCATTTCCGCGAAGGTAATAGCCATAGTTGGATCCGGTAGGTAGTGCTGTTGTAGAATCCACATATCAATCGTGCAAAGCCGGGGCAGATGGCTAGTATATTATATATAATTTTAATTCACTAGGGTGACAACGCATCTATCTGCACTTTCGAGATCCTTTCACTTGTGTATATAGTTAGAAGTAGTTCAATATAATTTTTCATTACAGCCTATCAAAATTTTTGAATCTAGTTCCCATAGATTGTCCTAAAGAGGAGGTGGATGGGACAGGATATTTTCACTACCTTCATTTTGATTCTTAATAGAAATTATTTCCAGCTGAATATTGATTCCCAATCGAGGGTAGATGTAGAAGTCTATGGTACACAGTAATCACTTACCAACAGGTGGACTATGTGTACACTTGTCACCCTTATTCTATTACAAATGAGGAAGAGTTGCTTGCGGAGTCCACCTTTAGTATATAAAATTTCTTGTGATGTGGGCCTCGTTGTCATAAGCAACGCTATGACTGCAGCACCATAGCAGTTATGTCAACTTACGTCATAAGCAATTGGAATCTCTTCTTCCGGGTCGCCATATATAAAACGTTTTACTGTTCCCTCATAGAAGTCTATCCGGGAGCGGTTTTGTTCTGAACTGTGCCTGTTACCAAAAGAGGATAAGGTTAGCAAGGAAGCTTGGAAGTGGTAGAGACACGTTGCAGCTTAAAATAGCAGCTTAATGTTGCAGTGTTTCATAAGGTGAGTGTATGGAAATGGAGACCTTTTTTACTGGCAACGAGGCATTCTATATTAGTCCTCAGGGATGAATCGCATTTGCACTTTAATTTAGAAGATAAAAATCAGGTGGACTGTGTGCTAGTTTGTCAGGCTCATTCTTTAAAAAGAAATATACATATACCAGCGGCCGAAAGCGATCACCAAAAAGTTGCATAAAAGCCAGCCGTGATTAGATATAGCAGTCTATTTCTCCTAATTTAGCTCTGTTTGTCGTTTTAAAAATATCGATCGCCGGAATTTGTCCCGTAAGTGTTTATTCTGTTTATCCGCCCTAAAGAATCCACCCAAGGGCGGATACTCGGAAACGCGTGTCCGGAAAAAAATCGAATTTCGAAATTCGCTTTTATTTCCTCTTTCGACTTTTCACCCCAAGTACAGTTCAACACACACACTTTAATTATTAATTAATTTTTAATAACTAAAAACCCTATCAAAAACCTTAATACGTATTTTCGTAACCGTATTGTATGTAAATCAAATTAAACTTTCTCATTTCAAATAATATTATGTTTTATTTATAAATTCTGTAACATGTCCAGGCAATTGCCAATTCTAATTTCATTATTGAGAAAACGTAATTTAATATTCTGGACCACTTTTAATATCCTGGATCACTTTTAATGTACATTTGCAATCTTTTTTTTAAATATCTTTGCTCACAGATAGCGAAAGGGTTAGCGAATAATTGGGCATTTTTGTAAGCATTTTAAAAACGTTATGATTGGAAGTTTGTCTTTAACTTTATTTAACATTATTGTATTCCAAGAATTGCAATAAATCTGTAATCCTGTTAGGTACTACTTTTATTTCAACGTTGACCTTTTAAACAAGAATGTGTATACTTTTATAGGTAAGGTATTTTTAAAGGTCTGTCTTGAGCCAGTTTTTACCATGTTCCTATAAATGACTGTACACAGCCGAGGGGGAAAGTTGGAAAAAAATAATGTATACGAATTCCGATTATCCATCCCGTCTGGGGTGGATAGATGAACACGCATTTCCGAGTATCCACCCTAGGGTGGATTCTTTCGGGTGGATAAACGGAATAAGTCCCCCGTAAGTATCAAAAGAGGCAATTATACTCCAGAAAGATCTTATGGAAATAAGAAAAGAAAAAAATATTTCGCCACATCGTTTGAGCAGTGGTCTATCTTAATATATATTATAGCTTCCGATAGATGGCGGATTGCGTGTAAAATATATAGAGCAGGGACGGGGAACAGCGTTAAAGTTGCCAGACATCTAATACCCCATTAAGGCGCATAGTGCATTCAGGTAATAGACACACACACACACACACACACACACACACACACACACACACACACACACACACCATACACATACACACACATACACGCATACACACACACACACATACACACACATACACACACACACACTCACACACACACACACACACACACAGACACACACCGTATTTTGTAAAATGCGTAATGGCGTAATGACTACTTACTCTTTAAAAATAACCCTGTATAATATTATTTCCACACAATTGTAACGATACGTTAGAAGATTTGCTTTTTATATAAAGTAAGAACCTGTAATTGGCAGTAGAAAATGTAAATACTTACTAACTTTATAATGTTACAAAATGCTGTTGGTTCTGTTACAATAAAAAAAAATGATTATTTTAACGACATTAACATTTTTACTCTACTCACATTTGTGGTTCAAAAATATATTAAGAATAAACTACAAGTATTACTTATTTAATTCATGCAAGATTATTTTATACTATTTAATAGTTATGTTTTTTGTGATGGTAACATTTTTCTGTTAAACACGTTACAAATTGTTTATACTAATATATGATATACGGTGTTGAATGTACATATACTATACTCTTTTTGATAATACTTTTATAAATATCTTTGCACATTTGTTTGTATATTTTAATAATAACATAAAAAATAAGAAAATACATCGATTGTTCTCTGTTTACAAAAGAAGCTTCAGTGTAGTTTTGCAGTCATTACCGTTACCGGTACAGCGTATTAAAGTTCACTGCTGAATTAAGGTTGAGCCGTGGTAGCTCAGATGGTCAGCGCTCGCTGGAAATTTCACAGTACGCGAGCAAACCGAGTTCGATCCCCGCCAACACCAATGAAATTGTTAATTGCAATTTTAAGTGCTGATTTACCACGTGCTTGGCGGTGAAGGAAAACATCGTGGGGGAACCTGCAGGTCTGAGAAATAAGACACACAGGGGCAGCGCGGCGGACACTTCCTTGCCCTAAAACCCTCTCAGAAATGAGGGGAGGCCTGTGTGAAGCTGTGCTTTTGGCTGTAACTTTACTTATTTAACTTTAATAAAACAGATCGTTATGGAGAACAAATCGTTTTTGAATATGCGAATCGTGCATTTATTGTTAGTCTTGACAGAAGGCCTTGGAAGGTGCATTGACGTCCGCTCGATGACCCTCAGTCATTTCTTATGCTGCCACTTTAATGTGATTATTTTTAAATATTACAAGACTAATGGTACGTGTACATTAAAACCGTTTTTGTCGGCCGATGGCGGACAGTGCAACAGTGTACCACTTGCACAAAGACAAAATGATGAAATTAAACTGTAATTTGCACTACTTGCCAGCAGTCGGGCGAGAAATCCCAACAAGTTTGGATTCGACGGTTGATCGGCCGTTTTCGTGCGTTATCGTACGATGACGGTCGTGTTTTGTGTAAGCGCTCTCTTTGTTTTACAAGTGTTTGATTCGATCGTCCGAGTTCCGCCGTCATCACCCGAGTAAACTTCGGCCGATGACGGATTAAGTGTATGCGAAGCGTAAGAATTCCCTAACCATTTGCTTACATAATGATTTTTTATATTTACGCAAGCACTACACATAGAATATAGTTTTACGGGTTCTATAGCGTTTAATTTTACTTGAATGAAACTAGTTTTTCTGATTTTATCACGTTTCGTTATACTTGACTTTACTTCTTAATGTTTTGAGTGCTTTATAACCCATGGTGAGAAAATTTCTTTTTAAATAGCATGTGGGTGACAAGCGAAAGTACAGTTCACCTGATAGTAAATGGATGCTATGTGCCACACATAGACATCTACACTTATCTTAGATTAAGAATTAAAATGTAGATGCGTTGTCACCCCTGGAGAGTACGATGGAATGCCTCGTTACCAGTAAAAAGAGTCTCCGGTTCGTAAAAAGGGTTCTGAAATACTTAGCATTAAGCTGCTTTATGACGCTGGTTTCTGTGCGACCGTGGTGCTTCCCTGGTCGAGCCAACCCATCAGAGCAACAACCATAATATAGCTGCAGCGTGCCAGGTAAATAAACGCGATAAAATGCGTATAAAATTAGTTTAATATTAATGTGTAGTGTTCGAATAAACATCAGATATCATTACTTTTTACTTGATTTTAATATTATTGGTTTTGATAATAATATGTGTAAGAGTTAACCGGAATGCCTTCGGACGTCGAACACTTCAATACCTTAAGTTTTTGAAGAGAGTTAAAATCAAGTAATATTAAACGCGATATAATTAGTAAAACTAGTTCTATTTGCTTCTACTTACCATACTTCGTACGTCTCAACGATATCGTGCATGAGGCTGATCTTCTCAGCCTTGAAGTGAAATTCAGTCGGCCATATTAGACTCTCTTCTATCGCGTAGCTGTCTGCAAAAATATATATATAATATATATATATATATATATATACGAAAAATATAACAATAGAGATTTACTTCGAAATAGTTGGACATGAGCAATAGATATATATTAAAAAAATTACATGATTCTTTTCTTTAAGAAATGATACTTTTTAGACATATCTATGCAACCTTTGACTAGCGACCATTGGCAGCGCTGTTAAAAAAGAAAATTGATTAGTATCTCAGCTTAAAATATATTTCAAAATGAATACTTTACCTATAATGGAAGAACAGCAACTGAGAATTGAATGTAACAAGACGATCAAATATTTCATGTTGAAAAGGGTCAATGGTCGATAGGTTCTGAATCCATTAATATAAATGCCGAATTATCAAATTTGATAAAACTAATTAAATTTATTAAAAATAATTAATATTAATCTCGCTTAATAATTAATATAATGAAAGAGATTGCGTATTTAAATGTTCAATAGTATAAAATGGATCGAGATTATTTCGTTCCATTGACGTCAGAACAGAATAAAATAAAATATTATATTTTATTCAATATAGATTCACACTTAATACAGCTTTGCCTGGGCAGGATGGGATGTTAGATGTAAGATAATTAAATACCATTTAATAAACCAACTTTTTTAAAATGCTTTGACATTTTCAGATATACAGCCTAACAAAACAAGCTTAATTCTTACATTTGTTACAGAAGTAGGTTGAAGATCATTGCTATACTCCTACTCATCACATAACATCATTACTCTCAAACCCCTCTCTATTCTTTCTTTCATTATGAATTATCTCTGATCTAACGCCTAAAGTCTGTTGAAATTTTAGTGCGTAGTAGTAGTACCTTTGCTACTATAGGGCAACATACTCTGTTAAATTAATTTTTTTGGTTGTTTAAAATAGTATAAGACCGCCTTTTGATTTCTTTTAATATTTGTATTTTTTTTTTCTTGGTGTACAATAAAATCGTTATATTGTATGTTATTGTATAGTAACTTATTGAAAGTCTGTTTTTATTAAATTTTGGTTCGAAAAATATCACTGTCATAAGATAAATTATTATGATACTTGGGAGATTTCAACGCAAAAATAGGCACAAGAGAGAACTGTGAGCTTAACAGAACACAAGAGGCCAGCAGCTAGACGAGTTTATGGAAAAAAGGGACTCTTTATCATTAACTCTTTAATAAGCGATCCCCCGAAAGTGGACCTGATCGACCCGACGGTTCGCCAAAAAAATGAGAACGATTTCGTTATGACGACTAGACAGTAACTGTTCAGTGATGTCTCAGTGGTAGCGAAGGTGAAAACTGGCGAAAGACGCACTGAACCTAAACGTTAAGTTGGAGGTGTCACGTCTAATGAAGTTAACGATCGGTTGACCTCGTGGTCTTATCAAAAGCCCTTTTTTATAGAATAGGATAACAAACGAGTACACAGTCGACATGTGATGGTAAGTGGATTCCGTGGCCCATAGACATCTACTTTTGACCACGTTTCAGAATCAAAATGCCTGTCACCCCCGAGAACTAAGATTGAATCCCTCGTTTCCAGTGAAAATGGTCACATACCATACGAAACACAGCAGCATTGAGCTGCTATTTTACGTTGGCATTCTGTGAGAGCGTGGTCCTACCCCGGTCGATCTGGGTCGGCTTTAATTATAATATAGTTGTTCGTGCTATAATTATAATATAGTTGCACCGTGTCTCCACGTAAAAAACCTGTAAAGCCCTGAAAACTTTCAGCATGAATTACAAAATCGTTTTCAGTGGACGATATGAATGGCAATCTCGTGCTAAATTGCATAGAGCCAACGTAATAAGAGTAAAACTTTAATGTTTGACTATTTAGTCCGAGTTTGGTTAGAAAATATGAAATGTCAACAAATCTTACAGATGTACTCATTTTTGCTGTCATAATTAGCGATCGAAGTACAGACTAAGGAGCTTAGTAAAAAATCAGAACATTTGGCATTCAGATCAAACGTAAATCGGAACGTCATCATCTGGCTACATTAATGTGCCTAGCACTTTATATGCATCTTTGGCCGTTTTGTAATTTCCAGTTGAGTTTATATTGCTTTTACTTTTGATTATTAGGTTTATTGTTGTATTTTGTGTGTTTTTCCGTTTTTAAGGTCACGCCTACGCCTACATCACAGTGAACGAGTGAAGCCAGCCACAGTTTTCATTAAAACATACTTCAAGCCGCCGAAGATTGGACAGTTTTTACCATCAGTCAAGTGTAATGTTCCTCTGCAAGATGAGGAGTGTACAAGCTTAATTGTGAATGTAGTCTCTCTTACATAGGACAAACTAAAAGATCAATTAACACCCGCGTTAAAGAAGCTGATATGAATAATCGACGCTCCAGGAAGTCTGCAGTCTATAATATATATAACACGTATAGATCCTGTACTACATCAGATTTGATAGACCACAAATTCTCGCAAAAAACACCGATTTCTTCCAAGGTTGATTTGCGGGGCTAAAGAGAAATCAAAAAACATCCTAATTTCAATAGACAATATGGCTGGGCGCTACCATATGCTTCATCGTCATCGTCATTACAGCCTTTCACAAGTCCACTGCTGAACATAGGACTCCCCCATGTAATGCCACAAAGCGAGGTTCTGAGCTATCCATCTATATCCTGCATGTCTTACCAGGTCGTCACTCCATTTTCCCCATCGGTTATCGCGGTTACTCGAGTTTGACTGTAGATATCCTCATTTCTGAGTTTATCACGCAGATAAACCCCGAGCCCTCTCTATAGCTCGCTGAGCGATATTGAGCGTCCTCATACGGCCAGCGTTGAAAGACCACGTCTCAGATCCGTAAGTCATCAGTGGCAACACGCACTGGTTCTAGGTAAAATCTAGTTTTCAGAGTTTGAGGTATACCTGACGAGAAAATATGTCGTAATTTCCCGAATTTACCATCTGCTTGGGATCCTATAATTAATAAAATTAAACTCCAACCCAAGCACACAACAACAAGACTTCAAGGTACTATAAGTTCATACTGATCGGAACAAAAATTAATAATTTTAAACTGTGGTAACCGCGGTTAACCATGACATCTGGATGTTGAACATCTCAGTCCCCCCCGTGACCATCATAGATAATTTTATATATATCAGAGAGTGACCATGGGGTGCTGTGAAGTGCTCAATACGTCGGGTATATAAAAAAGTTAATATACGAGATAAAATCCGTAAAAACTTGTTTTATTTAAATGCGTATTGTTCGGGTAAATATAAGAAATCATAAAATTTTTGCTATTTGTTGAGTTTGTTTAATGATAAAATGTCGAGAACAAAAAATGGTGGAATAAATATAAAACTATTTAATTTCTTTATCTTAATTTTACTACTTTCTCTATTTATTTGTTTATTGTAGTACATGAATACGACGGTATTACATCACATATATTAAAATAGAATTGTTCTTGCTTGACAGTTTTTAAGTCCAACTATCAGGCATTTAAAAAAATTGCCGCTAGTAAGCATTATAGAATACTATATAATACACAAATAAAATAAAGTATGCTACGGTAAGCATAGTACGTAACTGCGCAAGCAAACGAAGTAAATTAAACTTCAATTTTATTAGTAAAAGAAAAATATATTAGGTGAGATTTTTGAAGTTAAATTAAATGTTCATAACAAAATAAAATAAAAAATTATAATTTTCGTAGGCGAAGTAAGCAGTTGTGTCAGACCATATGCCAAGGAAAATTATGAACAGATCTCCCCGGATGATTACTTAAACGTGAACCAAGCTATTCGGCATGGTGGGCGTTAAAATGCTGAGTATCTAAAATCTGTGGCCATTTGGATGTGGTCCAGTTTGTACCCCGGGTAGGAGAGATACAAAGCATCAGCCGGAAACGACACCTGCTTCGTGGTCAGAAAGAGAGAGTCGGCATCGCCGTCGCGATAAGGTAGTGGATGTAGGGGTCCTGATATTGCAGAAATTTACGGATAACGTGGCAGGGGTCGCCTTAGTCTTGTTGCTCAGTTTGCCTCGAGCAGTTATTGTCTTAAGCGGAATATTGCCCCCCCCCCTCCCCAAGAATACGCGGGGTAGCCTGAGCAACCATGCTCAGTAGTGAAAAAGCTTGGTCGTGGATGCCCAGTGAGGGATTATCCAGGGTTGCTGGTACCCTCGTCCTCTTACAATTAATTACGCTACTATGTTGATGGGGGGGGGGGAGAATTGTGCCTCCGGCCACCTACACTCACCAGACGAAACGCGGAAGCAGAGCTGCTACTTCACGCCGGTATTCTGTGAGGTCGTGGTACCACTCTAGCTCGAGCCGGCCCATACGTGCAACGGCAAAAGTTACCGCGTGACTCTACCAGTATGATGGTAAAGCCACGCGGCAGCTTTTGCATGGAGGGGTAACAACGATAACTTTTGTAAATATCAATTGTTCAACTCAATTTTTTTAATCTCTTCATCTATCATGTAGGAAGCCATGGAATGTAAATGACTGTTTAATTTTGTTTTGTTTTAAGTTATAATTAAAAAAAATCGGCTGAGAAATTCCAAAAATCTTTGGATGTTTGAGCAGCCTTGTAATAATATATTTTACTAATACTGACTAGCGCCGAGCTCGGCCGCCGTCGTGAGTGGGTTACTGTATCGATTGTTTAGAAATACATATTATTCCAAAAACCAAATTTGACACATACTTGATCAAGGTAAGATATTACTATTATTTTTATAATAATTATCTCAATAATAATTACATAGTACAATTTGGGATTTTCCACACTTTTTTATTGACGTTTGGCATAAAATTATCGGAAAGTTAGAAGTAATAGTAATAACGTTATTTTGTGAAAACTTGTGTGTATTTAAAATACTTTGTTTTTTATTTATTATAAAAAAATTGACGTATAATATGAGCGAAGGTTTCCCTTGGTTTTTATTTTTTTAGTTTGGAATCAATCTGCAATAAATGACAAACAATTTGATATTAAAAACATTTTAAGTGGTCAGTACTGTTTAAGTTGGTAAATGTTAATAAAATATCGCTTTACCGTGTTGATGTGTTTATTATTTGTATGTGTTAGTAATATACAATAACATAGACCCTACATAGTTACGGTATAGTAACATAGTTACGGTATAGTAACATAGTTACGGTAACATAAAAGTAACCCTCTGAACATAAACTCAATAAAAAATACTAAGCGGGTTTTTCATTACTCTACACGATCAAAACTTTAAGAAAAAGGTTGATATTTTCTATAAGGTTGCCATGCTAACGAAAAAGTATATTTAATAAGTTACAATATGCACAAATATTAACAGTTACGAAACATACTATCAACGTTACCAGTAACATCAAAGTTACATAGAATTAACGTTATAGCGCAATTTTTAGAGGTTACTAGTGAGGTGAATAACTGTGTAGTTATTCGTGTATAATACTATATAAGATGTGTACAATAAAAACAGATAATTGCCTTTGAAATCGTCCAAATTCAAAATTAAAATTCACTGACAAAAAATACGCGTGCACCTTTGACTCCAGAGACGAGAAGATGGCATATTTTCTTTTTTCATTGTGAATTATGAATACTTTGTGTCGCCTATGCAATTACAAAATACTACCAAACTATGCTGCTATGCTTTTTAAGGAAAACTTTTGGTAACATACAAAGTAGTACATAAAAGCGAAAATATGGAACATAAGTTTAAATAGTAATAATAGTAAAAAAATGCGTTTTTAAAGACACGAAAAGCACGATGCAGTAGCTTAATATTGAGACATTTGAGATAGTTACAAATAAATTAAATTTTCAATACAAAAAATATAAGTTTTATAGTGTAAGTGCAAAAAAGACATCATGTTATTCGTCAAATTTGGTGGTCTGGACGAATTTATATCGATGTATTTTTTATGTACAACTTACATAATTTTAAGAATATGGTATAAGAGTTTATGTGATAAATAACCTAATTAAAACACCTTCATTACAATTTACCCGCTATGTTGTTTATTATAAGCCATCAAAATATAAAAATAACATTTCTTCAAAAAATGGCAAAATCGACGACCTTACCCTATTACATCACATAGATATATCTATGTGATAGAACCACGCTACATCATTAAAGCTGAATCACGAATGTGTCATTATGGGTCGAATCTAAACCCAATACTCTTCTAATCCTGGACGCTTTGTAATTAATATGCGCAGTTTGGAAAGTTACTGGCAAATATAGGGCTCAGGAGCCGTGGTAGCTCAGATGGTTAGCGCTCACTGTAAATATAACAGAACGCGAGAAACCCGCGTTCGATCCCCGCCGGAACCAATGAAATTGTTAATTGCAATTTTAAGTTCTGATATACCACGCGCTCGGCGGTGAAGGAAAACATCGTGAGGAAACCTGCATGTCTGAGGAATAAGAAAAAAAATATTTCGAAGACATGTGAAGTTCGCAAACACGCATTGGGGCAGCGCGGCGGACAGTTTCTTGCCCTAAAACCCTCTCAGAAATGAGGGAGGCCTGTGCCCAGCCGTGGGACGTATATAGGCTGTAACTTTACTTTTTACTTTACTTTTATAGGGCTCAACCGTGTTAAAATGATATCCGAAACCATTAACAGAATATCCACAATCATCTCTACATTATTAGTATGTTTCCGCAGACGTCCGATGCTTTTGAATATAAATATTACTATTATAATACATAAAAACTATTATAATAATACATAAAAACATAAATTCTGACTTCTGTCACACAAAAGGATATGTACAGACTACCGACATTCATTTTGCAAGATTTTGACACAACTCTCTTCATTTTTTTTACATCCATATACCTACGCATACATTTTTCGCGGTCGTAGGATGCTCTTAATTTCTCCCATCTTCAATATATCGCCAATTTGATTAATAAACTTCAGTCTAGGGTGACCCTTGCCGCTTTTGTCACTAATTCTTAATTTTACATTAGCGTAATTTTTATGCGTGGTATGCTGCAGCTATATTATAATGGTAGCATGAATAGTCGTCTCGACTGGAGCAGGACCACGCTCTCAGAGAATACCATCGTAAAATAGCAACTCAATGCCGCTGATTCGTGTGGTGAGTGAACAGAACCGGAGACCCTTTTTACTGGAAACGACGCATTTCATCTTTGTCCACAAAGATGACAACGCATCTGCGTTTTCATACTTAACGTACGTATGTATGTAGATGACTATAGGCCACGTCAACCACTTACAACCAGGTGGGTTGTGTGTTCGTTTATCACCTTAATTCTATAAACAAAAGTAAAAATAAAACTATGCAACCAAATTTCGCGTGGAGTTTATTTATTACAAAATGTCAATGTATTGAAGCACCACTCTAAACGATAGGATAATAGCCGTCGGTCATGAGGAAACAATTGTTATTCGCAGTGGACATGAGGATGTAGCCGTCTTCACCCCAGTCCTCGCCCCAGGAGTTCTTCACGATCCAGTAGTTCGCGCCGTCGCGGACGCCGTAACCGACCACCGTCACCGCGTGGTTGGTACTTTTCTTGTTGCTTTACAATTAATTGTTAAATTAAAATGCACAACAAAACCAGGAATATAAAATACAATGTATTGTATTTTATATTCCTGGTTAATATTATATTGTAATATAATATTCCTTTTTGCCTTGTAGTGGTAGCGTAAGAAAATTCACTACCTGATGATATGCATCCCGTGGATGTGTAAGAGGCGATAGAGGAAATTTTACGTGGTGGAGCCACGCTGCTGACATAATATGGTTGTAGCACGAATGAGTCGGTTCGACCGAGGAAGGACCACGTGCTCACAGAATACCAGCGTAAAATAGCTGCTTAATGCTGCTGTGTTTCGTATGGTGAGTTTAGAAATCCGGAGGCCCTTTTTTACTGGAAACGAGGCATGCCATCTTGGTCCTCAGGGGGAGACAACGCATCTACGTTTTGATTCTTAATCGAGAATAAATGTGGATGTCTATGGGCCACAGCATCAACTTACCATCAAGTGTGCTCGTTTGCGGGTGATAATATATTCTATAAAAAAATGAAATACAAGATATGAACTGAAATTAAAGGAATGATTATTATTCAATATAGATTATTGCATAATACTTATTGAAAGTAATTTTTTATTAACCACTGGTTCGGCAACAACCCTGTCCTGGAAAGAACCAGCAAGAAACCCAGCGGAAATCTTTTTTAAACATATTTCACTTCGTATTTGATAGGAAGCATCTTCCTGATAACAACTCTAAATTATAATTTGTGGTTGGTAACTGTCTTTCAAGCGTAAATATTGTTACCATGAGAATTGTCTTGTCACAGATTGTTCTGGGTGAGGCCTATGTTTAACAGTGGAATTTTGATGTGCTATAAGTATAAAGTTACGGGCTATATACGTCTCACTGCTGGGCACAGGCCTCTGCTCATTTCTGAGAGGGTTTTAGGGCACGGAATTGTCCGCCGCGCTGTCATCATGTTGGCATCACACGTCTTCGAAATATTTTTTTCTTATTTCTCAGACATGCAGGTTTCCTTACGATGTTTTCCTTCACCGCTGAGCACCCGGTAAATCAGTAATTAAAATTGAAATTAACAATTTCATCGGTGCCGGCTGGGTCGAACCCGGTTTGCTTGCGTACTATGAAATTTACAGCGAGCGCTACCACGGCTATATGTACGAATAAAGAAAATCTCTTAGTTATATATGAATAAAACTTTCTTTATCCCAGAGAGGAGAGTTTTATTCACATAAAGAAAGTAAAAAGAGCCGGTTCGAATCGATTGGGGATGGACCACGCTCTCACTGAATACAAGCGTAAAATGGCAGCTTAATGCAGCTGGGATTCCTATGTTGGTGAGGTTTTTTTTATAGGATAAAGGTAACAGACGAGCACACAGTTTACCTGATGGTAAGTGGATGCTGTGGCCCATAGATATCTAAATTTAACCACGCTTAAGATTCAAAATGCAGATGCGTTGTCACCATTGAGGAACCCTAAGATGGAATGCCTCGATTCCAGTAAAACGGGTGAGTGTAGAGAACCGGAGAACCTTTTTACTGGAAATGAGGCATTTCATATTAGTTCTCACGGGTGACAATGCATTTAAATATTGATTCGTAATCTAAGATAGATGTAGATGTTTATGGGCCACAGAAACGACTTACCATCAGGTGGATTCTGTACACTCACCATACGAACTATCTGGAATGATCTAGACGGAAAGGAAAATTTACAAGAGGAGCTAAGAAGTTGAAACTATTTTTTAACATAAGGTGGCGTTGTTAAATTAAGAATCATTAATAGAAGACTATATCTTGAAAAGTAAGACATTGAGGAAAAGTCATTTTACCTTAGTATCTGTCTTTCTATCCAATTATAATGGGTGTGTATTTAGGTCAAGATTGAACAGACTTTTGTTAAACCATATGATGACCATATCGCGGGTCTCAAACCATATGCGTATATGTAAAAAATGCGATTTTTTGTTTTTAGTGCCATTGGATTCTACTATAAGCAATACTTAACCTCAATTTTTCTTATAATTTAATATTAATTACTTTTTTGAATAAATTACAGAATATAATTTGTCGTAACCTAGAGAGTCTGAAATAATTTTTAGACCATATAGGCGTATAGTGGACGTAACAGCAATATTATTGCATATTGGGGCAGATTTGACGTGCCACAAAGACGTATGCGCATACGACCGCCAATGTCCACATGATTCTGAGGATATTTAGTCATCACAGTAGAAATGTATGTACATACGTCTACATATTTTAGTATTGATGTGCATCTCGTCAAAACGCGGACGCATAGTCATGTCAACGACACCCAATATATAAACTCAGAGTCAGTAATTAAAGCAACATAGTCCTGGAAAATATACTAGGTCTCACTATAACCAAATTAAAATAATAAACGAAATCTATAAAAAATGGTTATTATAATAGAAATGAATATCTGGATGATAACAACCCCTGGAAATGAGGATATCGCTTCTAAGCTGTTTCGTGAATAGGTTTTGTACAACATAAGTACAAATTATTGTACGAGGGTGGATTGAAAAGTACTCGGCCTAACCAAGAAAATAAACACATACTAAATCAGTTATATTTTTATTTTTCTACATAATCACCATCAAGTTCAATACACTTTTGCCACCTCCCCTTCCAAGCATTTAGACCGTTGAAAAATAATGATTCTTCCTTAGAGTCAAAATATGCGTCTACAGCTGCTTTGACCTCGTCGTTTGTCGAAAATCTTTGACCTCCCAAGTGCTTTTTTAGGTTAGGGAACAGAAAGAAGTCTGATGGTGCCAGATCAGGTGAATACGGCGGATGCGGTAACAGTTCAAAGCCACAGTTGTGAATTTCAGCCATTGACTGTACTGACGTGTGAACACGGGCGTTATCTTGATGAAACAGGACTTTTCTTCTGAGCATTCCTCGACGTTTTTCTTTTATTTCCTCTCGTAAACGACGTAGTAAGGTGCAGTAGTAATCAGAGTTTATAGTCTGACCCCTTTCAAGATAATCAATCATAATCACACCTTTCGAGTCCCAGAATACTGAAGCCATCACCTTATTTGCCGACAAAATCGACTTAGCCTTTTTAGGGGGTGGTGAACCAGGTCTTCTCCACTGTTTTGATTGTTGTTTTGTTTCCGGTGTACAGTAATGAACCCATGTTTCGTCCATAGTAACAAAACGATTAAAAAAATCATCTGCATCGGCTTCAAATAACTCCATACAGTCGCGTGAAATAGTCAATCGCGTCCTTTTTTGTTCAACTGAAAGCAGTCGCGGAACCCACCTCGAAGAAACCTTGTGGAAACCCAACTCGTTGACAATGATGTTTTGAGTTCGTTCATAAGAGATGCCTATAATCTCGGCTATCTCTCTAATTTTTAATCTGCGGTCTCCCATTATTAAATCAAGTACTTTTTTAATATTTTCGTCAGTAGTTGACGTCGAAGGCCTTCCAGAGCGGGGTTCATCTTTCACACTCTCTCTACCACGCTTAAATTCTGCTATCCATTTTTTGACGGATGAATATGACAGAGCACAATCGCCTAATGTACTGAACATGTCATCATGGATGGCTTTTGATGATAGCCCCTTCTTATGGAGGTACTTAATGACGGCACGCTGCTCGATTTGCTCCATTCGCGGAAATTATGTCCGATTACTTTGTTAATAAATATATAAAATCACAACTAATTATCGCACACGTTTCGAACTTCACACAATGAACTAGTCTGAACTGAACTAAATAATGTGGGTAGATTTGATTTTTAGAATTGAATGGATCTGTGTTAGGCCGAGTACTTTTCAATCCACCCTCGTATGATATATTTTGAAGAAAAAAAAGTCCCGCTGGGTATCTTGCTGGTTTTACCCAGGGCAGGGACTTTTTCCGAACCGGGGGTAAAATTAAGAAATGACTTATTTACTTGTAATCCATATTGAATAGCTTCTTTAGTTTAAAGTAGAGAACTTATACCACTTTCTACACTAATCCCCTATGTGCAGCCATTGTTAAGACCTAGCATATTAAAAACACAGAATATCACATCTAATAAAAATAATAAAACATAGGCATATCCTAATTACATTCCTTCAGATGTTGAAAGTCAGCCTTCTCCAATAGCACCAATTATCTTATATTCAACCCTCTCCACTAAACACAATGGACAACCCACAAAAGTCTTTTAAAAAAGAAGTGACAGAATCAGTAAACTCCTTTAGTCAAAGTCAACAGGAAGAGGCTGATTCAATAAGTTATGTTAACAACATTGTATAATCACAAGGATTGTATCTGCAAGACTTCATACAAAGAATTGATCCTGGCAAAAAATATAGATTTTCACAAGCCGAGAGAAGACCTATGCCGATATTGTACATAAGTTTGAGTAGTTAACCAAAGAGGAACAGAAAGAGAATCAGGAAAAGTATGAAGAATATATGAAATTAAGGTTGATTATCATTTAGAATTGAAAGAATTTAAGGCAATGCGAGATATCTTTATTGAAGACACGCTAAAACCCACGGATAGCACGCTTTTAATATGGGCAAACGTTAGATGGATACAAGTGAGGAAAGATTTTCCGATTCATTTTTCTTCAAATTCGACTACTGAAAAAAATTTAAGAGGATAAGCTCTTCTATGGAAATAAATCTGTACTCTGAACCACTTTCATTAAAACAAGTGAAAAATAAAAATTTGATGGTTATGTGCAAGGATGAAACTATTCTGAAAAATTACCGCAGCTATTACGAAAATTTGTCTTTTCTACGAAACAATATTTGGAGACAGGAGCTAATAATATCGACGACGAGTTAACCCTTGTTGCTGCGAAGGCGTCTTACTTTCTATTATTTAATCTGTGCTTTGACGTCGACCTAGAAACAAAAACTGAAACTATGGTGTATTATTTAGTATATTATGTTGACATGCCTCTTTAACGCAATTGGTCATTTTAAAAATTAAAAAATATTAAACCTACTAAAAATTTTTCATAACATTTAATGTCAGTATGGCAATGAGAATAGCTGATTTGTCAACCTTTATTAATTTTAATGGCAAATTGAATTAATGAGGCATGCCAAGATTGTTTGTTAACTGAATAAGACAAGTAAGACAAACTTAAGTATCCTTTACGTCACTTGTGCAATTTTTCCTATATTATTATTTTTTAGAAACATTTATTTTGTTTTATAATGTTTTATAGAATTTATTATACTTGTTTTTATGACTATAAATTTATTTTAAATATTTAAATTTCATTTTCTATGAAAATCTCATGTGTCTTGTGAATCGCAAATCTCAAATCTGATCTCAAAGAGTTTTTGTTTTATTTTAAATAAATTCTTCCAAAGAGTTCTTTTGGATTACAAAAAAAATTTAATTTTTACAAGTTCCCTTTAAGATTTCAGGTTGATTTGGTTTCTTCTAATGTCTTATGTTCAATTGTAGAGGTTTGTGATTTTATGTCATTTTTAATTATTATATTCAGACTTATGAATAAATTTTATTTTAATGTGCTTATTTTTTGGCCTGATTTTTTTCACCAAGAAAATATTATGTAATTGCTGCCATTCTATTTTTTTTCTTGTTTGTTGCAGAAAAATGGTCTGTACTTCTAATTCCACACCAAACACCTCTCAATATAACAGACAGCCACTCAAGTTCATAAGGCGCACAAGCGATCAAAATAACTTGAAAAATATCGACATCAAAGCACTTGTTTCATCGTTTTCTCTAATATTTCACGCGCGCGGACACTTAATTCACTAAATCGCATCACTTTTACGAATCAAAATTCACTTCAAACCATCATTCAAGCGACAAAACAGGAGCGACAACCCGTCTACGGCCAAGTTCCCGCCAAAACTCCGCACTGTGGGTATTGAAAGACATCAGAGAGCAACGAAATAGCAGATGGGCAGCTGCATATCCCCAATAACAAGTAGATAATAAAAAAAACTACGGCGGGCAAAGCAAATATGACTGGATACAGGAGAAAATCCTGATGTGTAATGCGTTAAAAAATATTGAATAAAATACTTTCTAATTATGTTTCTAAAAAATGGTTTATGATGGATAGTACCAGAGCGAAGCTTGTTAGTGAAGAACGCATTAATCTACGGAGGAAATTAGAGGGGTAGAAGAGCGTGACCTTTTGAATTGCTCCTTTACGCTTGCCCTCGTCGCGGCTCTGCTTTCCTCAATATATTTCCAAGAGGATGACATGTTTCCTGAGGTACGATGATGAAAGACCGGCAAATTCCTGACTCCAGGCTGCTACTGAATATTTTCAACAGAAAACACCCGATAACAGATTTTTTTTGGTCTAATGCGGGATTCGAATTCCAGACCTATTTAAAAAGTCTGTCAAATACACCGAATTTACGGTGAAATTACGACCAATTGCAGTTTTTCGGATATGACGGGGAAAGTGATTGTGTATATTGAATTTTGTATTGATGCCGTTTATACATTTCTCTTAAATGTCTAATAAATGATACGGATTTGTGACGAATTATAAACTTACCACTTAGGTTCATAATAAATTCCACTAGAGTAATACAGCATTGACGTGTCGGAATTGATGACAACACTGACGGGGCCGAACTTGTAGAGTGCCGCCTTCAGTGCGGTCTCACTGAGCGACGGCACCTTAGCAAAGCCTTTGATGTTATAGATATTTGTCATATTCTTCATTTTGCAGTAACCGTCCTGGGGAAAATAAAACAAGAAATCATCATCATCGGTAGCATTAAAGACCATCAAGTCCACAGCTGAAGCATTACTCTTCCCAAGGATTGCCACAAAGCACGTCCATGAGCCATCAGCATCCATCGACTTTCCGTATGCCATCACTTCTTCTATTGCGGTGCCGTAGTTAATTTCGCGTACCGATATAAGGCTGTCGCATAGTCAAGTCAAGGGAGTCAGAGTTAAGCCGATTAAAGAAACAGAAGACAACAGTGCAATGGGAAGCTGTACACATAATCGATGGAACTACACTCAAGTGTGAGTAACGATCGAAGAGCAAATCTAATCAGACATTATTTCGATGATATCCCGGACGTCATTCTGAGCTCGTCAAATGGATCTCCAGGATTTTAAAAATGGCAGGGCTCCAGATGAGGATGGAATTACAGCGGAGCTTCTGAAAGCGGGTGAAAAACAGTCCTTCAGAAGCTTTTCAATTCCGTCCTTCACAGTGGCACTACTTCGAAGGCGTGGAGCAGAACTGCGCTGGTCTTGTTCTTCAAGAAAGGCAACAACGCTTTCTTGAAGAACTACAGACCAATTTCCCTTCTGAGCCACGTCTACGTGCTGTTTTAGAGACTCATTACGAATCATCTCGCACGCAGACTCGAGGACTTCCAGCCTCTCGAACAAGCCGTTTTCCGAAAATACTTCAGTACCATAGACCACATATATACCCTGCGGCAGATTGTACAGAAGACCGCAGAGTACAATCTGCCACTTTGCCTTGCGTATGTGGACTACGAAAACACCTTTGATTCCGTCGATTTTTGGGCGATGCTACAGTCCTTTCAGCGGTGCCAAGTTGATTATCGATATAACGAAGTGTTTGTACAGTAGGGCTACGATGGCTTTCTGAATATAGTACCAGAGTACGAAAACTATCCAACTGCAGAGAGGTGTAAGACAGAGTGACGTTATATCCCCGAAATTCTTCACCGCTGCATTGGAAGATGTTTTCAAGCCACTGGACTGAAAAGGATACGGTATTAACATCAATGGCGAGTTCATAACTCACCTTCCACTACCACCACCATATAAGCACTATGCTCAATGACCTCAATAGTGCCTCTCAACGGATAGGTCTTAAGATAAACATGGACAAAACAAAGATCATGTTAAATGTCCATGTCACACATACGGTAGTTCTTGGGAGCACTAAGCTTGAAGTTGTTATCGAGTACTTTTACCTGAGACAAGTAGTCCGACTAGGTAAGTCCAACTTAGACCGAGAGGTCAATCGACGGATTCAACTCGGCTGAGCAGCGTTCGGTAAATTATGACACATCTTCTCGTCAGGTATAGGTATACTGAGCTCAATAGCTTTTTGCCAGTGATACTAATGGATCCGTGAACGTGGAGGTGGTCTTTCACTGCTGGCCTATGGAGAGGGCTATGGTCGGTGGTTCTCCGCGTGATAAACTTAGAAATGAGGATATCCTCAATAGAACTAGCGTAACCGACATAGCCCAACAGGTTAGTAAGCTGAAGTGGCAATGGGCCGGCCGTATTGTTCGGAGAACCGACAATCGATGGGGAGGAAAGGTTCTCGAGTGGTAGCCTGGGACCGGTAAGTATAGTGTAGGGCGCGACCCCCCACGGTGGTAGATGTAGTGACGACCTGGTAAGATATGCAGGAAGTCGATGGGTGCAGGTGGCTCAGGACCGTGCTGGTGATAATGATGATAATAATTACTGAAAACCGTGCTGTGGCTTTGAATTGTGTATGAAAACAGAAGTTGCATATATTGTACGCAAGTTGTATATAGAGCTCACCTCCATTTTTATTATCCTCTGTCGTCTCTCACATATCGGGTAGTGGATATTATTATAGGGTACAAAAGCATATGAATATATTATGCTATATATTCTTTGCTATATATTCATATGCTTTTGTACCCTATTTTGTACCTATTATGTATAAACATAAAGGGACACACGGAACGGTGTTAGGTATGACGTAGGTAAATTTATATGGAGAAGGAGGCAGAAAGCTGAAATGTATAATGTAATTGTAATATGTGTTAAAAATACATTGAATTAAAAAAAACATTCATTATTTACGTTCATCGCGTCAAATAGTCACACAGAATGTAGCTAAAAGAGTTTTAGAATGTTACAAATAATGATTACATCATTTTGTGTGGTTACAAATGTCCCTTTAAAGCTCTTAAAACAGCTTATATTTTATATTTTGTATTGAAATAATACTAGTTTTTACGGAATTTATCGCGTATTTTTAACTTTTTAATTACCCGACGTTTCGAGAGCTTTACAGCACCCATGGTCACGGGAAGGACTGAGATGTTCAACGTCCAGCTGTCATAGTTAACCGCGGTTACCATAGATTAAAATTTAACTTTTGTTCCGATCTACACAGTATGAACTTATGGTATCATGGAGTCTTGCAGTTGTATGCTTGGGTTGGGATTTAATTTTATTTATTATAGGATCCCAAGCAGATGGTAGCACCCAGCCATCTTCTCTATTGAAATTAGGATGTTTTTTGATTTCAATAGCCTCGCGAATCATCCTTGGAAGGAATCGGTGTTATTTAGCGAGGATTTGTGGTTATCAAATCTGATGTAGTGACGGGGGGCGATCCTGTACATGTTCACAGACTGCAGACTTCCCGGAGCGTCGATTCTTCACATCAGCTATATGTTCTTTGACGCGGGTTTTAATGGATCTTTTAGTTTGTCCTATGTAGGAGAGACCACATTCACAATCAAGCTTGTACACTCCTGCATCTTGCAGAGGGACGTTACACTTGACTGATGGTAAAAACTGACCAATTTTCTTCGGCGGCTTGAAGTATGTTTTGATGGAAGCGCGCTTCAAGATGTAGCCAATCTTGTCAGTGACTCCTCTAACATATGGCAGTACAGCAGGTACACGCTCGGCTGTGGCCGGCTTCACTCGTTCTCTGTGACGTAGGCGCGGGACCCGAAGCTTGTTGTCATGCAAAACTTGCTTGACATGTTGGAGCTCGGCAGCCAGGTGTTTACTGTCACAGATCCCTCGTGCCCTCTGAAACAAAGATTTACCCACGGTAGCTAACTGTGAAGGATGGTGGTGAGAATCACCGTTTAAATATCTATCTGTATGGGTCTTTTTTCTATACACAGTATGGCTCAAGGTGTTATCAGGATTCCGAATTACTAACACATCTAGAAAAGCTAAGGAATTGTTTGCCTCTAACTCCATTGTGAACTGAATTTTAGAATTTATAGAGTTAAGATGGTCCAAAAATGCAGTTACTTTATCTAAAGGTAGAATTGTGAAAGTGTCGTCTACGTACCGCTTGTAGAAACTTGAATTTCCATAATTTTGTGTAAATGTCCTTTTTGGTGGATATATTGAATATCCACCAAAAAGGACATTCGAGGAAGCGCTAAGATCTTAAATCAGGCGAGTAAAAAGTTGTTACGGGCGGTAATCCAACAAAAACGCTCCGATCTATATGACATCAATAAATCCATAGACACATCATCCAGTGAATTAAAGAAAGTTTTAACGACGTTTGATTATAATTTTTGCATGGAAACATTAAATAAACGCGAAATTAGTAAATATAACGAATGCAAAAACAAACATATAGAAAAATATCAAAAATTAACGGCCAAATCAAATGTCAAACATCCGAATCAATGCCAGAACCAAAAGCAACCATTGACAAACACAGATCATAGATTAATCGCGTTCTATAATCTGTCAAAACAAACACTGGATGATGCAACAATAAAGGTTTTATCCAAAGGACTAAATTACGCTATAACTTCACGCAGATTACCGTAAGAAATTATCTGTAGTGTCGAGGACTGTTTATTTAAAAACAATATGCGGAAAGAAGATTTGGAGGCGATACGTCAAGACATTTCGTCTATGTTACGTCGATGTTCAGTGCTTAAACCGAATCTTCCCAGAGACGAATTTATAGCGTTAAAGAACCTACGCAATAAACCAGAACTTACGATTCTCCGCGCAGATAAGGGAAACGCCACGGTAGTCATGGATACGTCAGATTATAATTCTAAAATACAAGAAATTTTGTCGGATGTAAGTACTTATAAAAAGGTTAAAAACAACCCAACAAATAGCACACTAAAAACAACTAGTGACCTCATAAAGAAACACTCCGAAAAATTAAATCTGGACGTAAAATGGATAATACCTACGTGCGCCAAATCACCAAAGTTGTATGGGTTACCAAAAATACACAAGCCCAATGCTCCATTACGCCCCATAGTGAGCCAAATCGATTCACCAACTTACAGATTGACTCAACACTTAGCGAAAATACTCTCACCGCTCAGGGGACATACAAGAGCACACATAAAGGATTCCTACCATTTTGTCAGCGAGATTAAAGACCTACGTCTGGCAGACAATGAAACTATGGTCAGTTTTGATGTGCAGTCATTGTTTACATGCTTACCTGTTGAAGACTGCATCTCAATTGTAACTAGAAGGCTGGAAGAAAACAACATGCCCGTAGAATATGCAGTATTACTCAGACACTGCCTTACATATGGCTACCTATTGTGGAAGGAGGAGTTCTACAAGCAAGTAGATGGTGTGGCGATGGGCTCACCTGTATCTCCCATTGTCGCCGACATATTCATGGAAGACTTTGAGGAGAAAGCCCTGCTTACTTCTCCCATAAATCCAAGTTTCTACAAGCGGTACGTAGACGACACTTTCACAATTCTACCTTTAGATAAAGTAACTGCATTTTTAGACCATCTTAACTCTATAAATTCTAAAATTCAGTTCACAATGGAGTTAGAGGCAAACAATTCCTTAGCTTTTCTAGATGTGTTAGTAATTCGGAATCCTGATAACACCTTGAGCCATACTGTGTATAGAAAAAAGACCCATACAGATAGATATTTAAACGGTGATTCTCACCACCATCCTTCACAGTTAGCTACCGTGGGTAAATCTTTGTTTCAGAGAGCACGAGGGATCTGTGACAGTAAACACCTGGCTGCCGAGCTCCAACATGTCAAGCAAGTTTTGCATGACAACAAGCTTCGGGTCCCGCGCCTACGTCACAGAGAACGAGTGAAGCCGGCCACAGCCGAGCGTGTACCTGCTGTACTGCCATATGTTAGAGGAGTCACTGACAAGATTGGCTACATCTTGAAGCGCGCTTCCATCAAAACATACTTCAAGCCGCCGAAGAAGATTGGTCAGTTTTTACCATCAGTCAAGTGTAACGTCCCTCTGCAAGATGCAGGAGTGTACAAGCTTGATTGTGAATGTGGTCTCTCCTACATAGGACAAACTAAAAGATCCATTAAAACCCGCGTCAAAGAACATATAGCTGATGTGAAGAATCGACGCTCCGGGAAGTCTGCAGTCTGTGAACATGTACAGGATCGCCCCCGTCACTACATCAGATTTGATAACCACAAATCCTCGCTAAAGAACACCGATTCCTTCCAAGGATGATTCGCGAGGCTATTGAAATCAAAAAACATCCTAATTTCAATAGAGAAGATGGCTGGGTGCTACCATCTGCTTGGGATCCTATAATAAATAAAATTAAATCCCAACCCAAGCATACAACTGCAAGACTCCATGATACCATAAGTTCATACTGTGTAGATCGGAACAAAAGTTAAATTTTAATCTATGGTAACCGCGGTTAACTATGACAGCTGGACGTTGAACATCTCAGTCCTTCCCGTGACCATGGGTGCTGTAAAGCTCTCGAAACGTCGGGTAATTAAAAAGTTAAATATACGCGATAAATTCCGTAAAAAACTAGTATTATTTCAATGTGTAGTGTTCGCGTAAATATAAGAAATCATTATATTTTGTATGTTAGCACACACACGGCACTGAGCACACTGTCTACCTGATAGTAAGTAGATGCTGTGGTCCATAGACACTACATTTATTCTTGATTAACAACTAAAATGCAGATGCGTTGTTACCCCTGGGGACTAAGATGGAATGCTTCGTTTCCATTTGAAAGTTTCTCCGACCCTCTACACTCACCATACGAAACACAGCAACATTAAGCTGCTATTTTACGCTGTTATTCTGTGAGAGCGTGGTCCTTCCGCGGTCGAGTCGACCCGTTCGTGCTACAAACATAATATACCTGCAGTGTGGTTCTACCACGTCAAAATCTGTATTTAATGTGCAGTTTAAATTTCCATCATTAGTTTATGGATTAATTTCGTTCTTCCAATTCGTGGTTCAATTGCTTGCTCAACATATAAACTTGAAAAAATTTTGAATAAATATTACCTACGGCCGAATTTTCATTACCAGGCGACCACGTTTAATATATTTACCTGTTCTAAGTACGGTCCATATTCCCTCTGGGTCGGTATCCCATGTAACGTCACGTATTTAAACGTCTCGTACAGGAATCCACCGTTGCAACCTTGGTTAGATTCAAATTTAGAACCTTTGCTGTAAAATTACAAGTCTAATGATTTCTTATATTCGCAAACAATGGTCATTGATTAAAAATAATTTTACATATTTTATCAGCCTAATATCTAATACTTCAAGTCCCGTCATGACCCGTGGGCATTGCAGGACTGAGAAATTGAGGTATGAGGTATTATTTGACGTTCTGTTGTCATAGTTAGTCCTGGATACCGGTATTAATTTTAGCAAAATGTGCTTACTGTGTCGTGAATTCTGACAGTGGATAGCTCGGGTTTTGTATATAATATTTAAACTGTAAATAATAAAGATTTCAAATTAAGATCCGCCAACACGTATTGGGGCCACGCTTCAGGTTTCCTTTCCTATCCCCATCTTTTCTAAAAAGGTTTTTCGTCTGTACATATGTACGACTGCAGACATGCGTCTCCGGCGGTTCAAAACGGTATCTAAGAAGACGATACCTAAGAAGATATCGTCGTCACTTACATCAAAACACCTTCACTAACCTACTCCAATTTACAATCGCACCTAAAAGAAAAACAAAAATAAACAAATAAACAAACAAACACGTATAAACTTATCTTACGGGGACGTAATTAAAAAAGTCATTGAGCGTGGTCGTGTATCATATGAAAAAATTACTCAAGACACGGAGCGTGTTCGCGTTTACGTCTACTTTACGTTACGAAATTACGTCTTATAAAAATTATATTTATTTAGCAACGAAAAAAACTTCCATACCCAAAAACCTTCTTAGAAAAGATAGGAGGCTGTCCAGTTGTGCACGTATGTAGACTGACTGCTTTGTTGGCCTAGATAACGTAAATGCAACCGCTGGTCATGAGGTTCTGAGTTCGAATTCTGTAAAGAAATTCACAGTAGCAACCCGGAGTCACTAATTTGGCGGTGACTCACCCCAGCTTGAACACGACTAATTCAATATAAAATTCTATCTCATTCTCTCGCAGGCTTAACCGTATATATGTATATATGTTTGTCTCTCTTTAGTATCGTCTTTTAAATTCAATTTACAAATCACAACGATTTAGAAGTTTTCACTTCAAAAAAAAAAAAAAAACTAAATGGTTCATAAATAGTTAAACCGGTATTTTGGTTTAAAAAGAAGTTTGCATTCAATTTTTTTACTTCGAAACGGTTCGTAAAAGAAAACGAAGCGTTTTAAATGGAAACACTTTTGCTTTTTTATATAATACAAGGGTGGCAAACGAGCACACAGTCCACCCGATTGTAAGTGGTTGTTGTAGCCTATAGACATCTACATCTACCCCCGATAACGAATCAAAATGCAGATGCGTTGTCACACGTGAGGACTAAGATGGAATGCCTCGTTTTAGTAAAAATAGTCTTCGACTCTCTACACTCACCATACGAAACACAGCAGCGTTAAACTGCTATTTGACGTTGGTATTCTGTGAGAGCATGGTCCTTTCTCGGTCGTGCTACAACTTCAATATACTTGCTTGCCGCAGTGTGGTAGAGCCACGCTGTGGCAAGCGTATATCGTCACACCGTACGCGTACGCAATACGACTTGATTCGTTGTTCCAACATAACATAGCATGTTATGAGGTATCAGAAGTAACGAGTAACATAACGATACTAAATTAACGAGTACTAATTATTATAGTAACTAATACATACGGATTCTACTCGCTCGCATACAGTTGACCGTCCGAACTTGTTCGTGGTCGGCTGAAAATCGGCGCTGCAATAATGCGGCTTATGCTAAGACGGTCCCTTTCAACACTTTATCATAGCACACGATTTTAAATTTAATATGTCTTTATACATATAGATATACAAATACACATAATATAATGGATGTACTCTTTTTAAGTCTATTTCCTTTTTTGCGTTTGTTTGTATATAAGTCACTTTGTTGGAGTAAATGTCTTTATGTCTTTTATATCTAGGCTGAAGTTTACGATGATATTGGTGAACAGTAAATTATTTGGTACCTCCAAGAGCAGTCAACTAAGGACTGTTCACTAAGGTCGATGTTCCGCCCGCCATTACTTCTCGACATCGCCGCTTCGATAGCAGCCGTGGCTGCAAACGCCCAGCAAGAGCCGCAATCGCCTTGGTCTGTGTTACAATATAAGTCAATCAGTTTCGTACGAAGGTGACACTGAAAGTTCTTAAAAAATCAAAAACTGAACAAACTAGCAAGTCATTAGTTTTATTATATCTTTCAAAATAGTGTCAATTTACATCAATACATGGCTGCATCCAATGGAACCACTGAGAAAGGCACTTTGCCCACTCGTCCTTAGGAGTCTCTTTGACGGCATTTTGAAACGCAGCCACTGCTTCCTCGGCGTCCATAAAATGTTTTTCTCGAAGTTTTTCTTTTATTTTCGGAAATAAATAAAAATAGCAAGGTGCGAGATCGGAGCTATAGGGTGGGTGACACAGTAATTCCACTTCTGACGTCTCCAAGTTGTCGGTTGTTTGCTTGGCGGTGTGCGACGAGGTGTTGTCGTGGTGAAGGAGGATCCTACTGTGAGGTAGTTTCTCCCGCACTTTTGAAGTGGCAAGCAATTGTTAGTGTACAACTCTGCAGTAACTGTATTCGATCCTATAAAAGAATTGTTGCGTAATGACCTGTCCTTCTTCTTTTTACTTGGCAACTCCTCTGAAGGAAACACCCGACAGCAGATTGTCTCTTAGTTTCAGGATCATAACAATAAATCCAGCTTTCGTCACCCGTAAGTATGTCGAACACAGAATGACGCGTGAGATTAGTGCGACCACGTTTAAATTCATTAAACCAGTTGTTAACAATGGCACGAGAGGGGGCTTCATCGTGACATGTCAATCGAAGTCTATCATAACATTTTGTTGACTGAAATGAAATCGAAAGTCATAAAAAATCATCGCGTATCTAATCATACGCGTAATTGTTGCACACAAATCACATTCGAATTCGATAACTTAAAAATTAATATTATTACTTAAGTACTTGTATTTTCAAAAACTATAATAACTATTTATCATTATTTATATATTTTAACTTGTGCAAAATTTAGCTACTCTTTGAAAAATAGCCCTGTAAAATAGCCCTGTATACTGGATGACCTCTTTATTGACTGGACAAAAATAGGGTGTAATATGTGAACGGAGTAGAAGCCTAAGGCACTGATATTTTACAAAAAATAAAAGCAAAAAGATTGAACTAAATAAATTAATTAAAATCTATCGTAATTCAAATTCCATCCTACTTTACAAACCACAATTAAACAATAAAATTAGTAGGCATCTTTGACCTTGTCACGTTGCAGGGTCACATGATCAAGACGAGCAAAGGGCAAAGTAATTGTTAATTTTTTTTTAAAACGTGTAATTAAAAATTTTATTTTTTATTTATTCTAGCTATATTGCCATAGGCTTCTACTCCATTCACATGTTACATACACCCTATTTTTTCCCAGACGGTAAAAAAGGTTATCCAGTATGTATGTATCATGGGCGGAAAATGGGTGTTGGATTCATAGTTCGACACAATACGACAAACTTACTTTTGATGGACGATATTATACCATCTTGCCTCATATCATAATTGGCTGGTAGTTCTTCTTTCATAGCTTTTAGTTCTTCTTCGGAGAAAGGAAACAGCTCAGTACCAAGATCGCTAGGGTCGGAGGGCCATGTTCCGGAAAGGTGTACCAGTTCATGGTCAAAACGATCAGCAAATTTGTTAACTTCTAATTTATAGCCCAGGTTTTTGCGATTGTGATGTACGATGCGTCTGAAATAGTTGTCTTCCTGAGTAAGTGTGATTGAATCAACTACATTAAAACATATGTTTCAAAGATTAAAAGGTATGTCTCACCTCCAGTTATCTTCAAAAATTAATTTCCTTACTTCAGATTCTTTGTCCTTATAATTCCTTCCATGATAATTTTTATAGCTGTAATAAAATATAGAAGCTAAATTTCAATTTGAATCAATATTTAAAAAATTTTACCCTTCCGTAAAAATAAATTTGGTTTACCTTTGAAAAGCTTTGTTTACATCGGAGTCAAGATGAGGATGGAGATTTTCGAGATCCTGTTTTAGGTTTGTACTTAAATGCTGTGCATTCTTACATTTTTCAACTGAAATAAAATGTTAAGAAATATAGCCGTTTATATTTAGTTTATAGAAGGTTATAGAAGGCTATTATGGGATTTTATTTATTTATACCAGTAACATCGGATGAGGAAATGACGAAATTCTTATCATAAAGTATAAGGAATGTTAACACACAGTCCACTTCATGGTAAGTGGATGCAGTGGCAAATAGCAATTGCATATAAATTTAATGACATATTTGGTTATTATTATAGTATATTGATGTTTTTAATATATTTATGCACTATCTCGATCTGACAACAACTTCCAAATAATATCAACAGATATTATCTGTGCACTAATTATCATACTGCGGTGTAATATGCAGTGTACATGTTCTGACATAGTTATTTATAAATGTATAGAATCAGACGTTATCTTGTGGAAATATAGTACGTGAGGGTGATACGGTCATCCGGTTAATATGGTCACTTTCTTATAACTCAAAAACTACAGCCTTGTTTTCGTAGATGCCTCTGTAATACGATATCTCTTCATCATTCTATTTGATTGAATTGATAAAGGGTCAAAAAGGCGACTCTTCATCAACGTCATTTTGACAGTTGCTATTAAAGTAAATATTTTAGTCGATTTTAGTATTGTGTAGTGTAGTAAATATTTTTTAAGTTAATTTCGAAGTGTGTCCTAATTATTTCCAAAGTTTATTTGCTATATATTTTTAGGGTTCCGTAGTCAACTAGGAACCCTTATAGTTTCGCCATGTCTGTCTGTCCGTCCGTCCGTCCTCGCTTAATCTTTGTGACCGTTAGCACTAGAAAGCTGAAATTTGGTACCAATATGTGTATCAATCACGCTGACAAAGTGGTAAAAAATTGGAAAAAAATGTTTTATTAGGGTTTGTAAATATGTAAAGTGGGAAGTGTTTTTTTTTGTAATTTCAACCCTAACGTGTGATATATTGTTGGAAAGGTATTTAAAAATGAATAGGGGTTTACTAAAATCATTTTTTGATAATGTCAATAATTTCGGAAACAATCGCTCCAAAAGTAAAAAACAATGTGTACTCCCCCTCTAACTTTTGAACCATATGTTTAGAAAGTACGAAAAAATCTGAAAAGTAGAACTTTATAAGGACTTTCTAGGAAAATCATTTTGAACTTGGATGGAAACAACAGTACCCACTACCGTGAGCAGTTGCAGGAGCGCGGAGCGCTGCTGGAGCGCGAACATAATGGATACCCACCTTTAAACTCATAAGTGGGAACACTTATTGGGACGGAAGGGAAACTACGGAACCCTACACTGAGCGTGGCCCGAAACGCTCTTGGCCGGTTTTTTAATATATTAGTTATAGTATACGACTTTTAGGTTTGGTTTTATACGAAGGTACCCTTACGTACTTTATCCAATTACATTTTTATAAAAAGAATAATGGGTGACAAATGAGTACACAGTCCACCTGATATTAAGTACATATTGTGGCACAGCGACATCTACATCTATTGCTTGCAAGGTAGAGCCATGCTGCAGTCATATTAGTAGTATAGTTGTAGCACGAATGGATCGGTTTGACCGGGGAGGGACCACGCTCTCAAAGAATACCACTGTTAAATGGCAGCTTGACGCTGCTGTGTTTCGTGTGGTGATTGTAGAGAACCGGAAATCCTTTCTACTGGAAACGAGGCATTCCATCTTAGTTCTCACGGGTGACAACGCAATTGTATTTGGATTCGTAATCGAGGATAGATGTAGATGTCCAGCAACCACTTACCATTACGTGGACTGTGTGCTGCAATCATGCAGATCAGTTATTATCCTAGAGAACTAAAATAAAATGCCTCGTTTACAGTAATATTTTACACAGCAGCGGTTGCTTTTTTGCGCTGGTATTCTGTTAGAGCGTGCTACTCCCGGGTTGAGCTAGCTTATTTATGTTACAACCGTACTATAGCTGCAGGATGGATTTTCCACATATTTTTATACAAAGCACGAAATCAAGTAAAATCTATCATTTGGACAGATGCTTCATGTTAACATTTCAAAAAAGCTCTAGATTCGTAATTGTAATCTTCATCATCATCATTATCATCATTACAGCCCTTCACAAGTCCACTGCTGAACATAGGTCTCCCCCAAACAACGCCACAAAGCACGGTCCTGAGGCACTTGCAACACTGGCAACACGCTCTGATTGTACAGTCTAGTTTTAAGGTTTTGAGATATACCTGACGAGAAGATGTGTCGTAATTTCCCGAACACTGCCCAGCCGAGTTGAATCCGTCGATTGACCTCTCGGTCGAAGTTGGACTTACCTAGTCGGACTATTTGTCCCAGGTAAACGTACTCGTCAACAATTTAGAGGTTAGTGCTCCCAACAGCAATCGGAATAGGTGTGACATGGATATTAAACATGATCTTTATTTTTGTCCATGTTCATCTTAAAACGTATCCGTTGGGTGACACAATTGAGGTCATTGAGCATAGTGCTTAGGTCCTCCAGCAATTCTGCCATAAGGACTATATCGTCGGCTAATCGAAGGTGAGTGATATACTCGCCATTGATGTTAATACCGTATCCTTACCAGTCCATTAGCTTGAAAACGTCTTCCAATGCAGCTGTGAAGAGTTTCGGGGATAGACGTCACCCTGTCTTACACCTCTCTGCAGTTGGATTGGCTTAGAACTCTCGTTCTGTACTCGGATAGTCATCGTAGCCCTAATGTACAAAATTTTCAGTACTTCGATAGTCAACTTTGCACCGCTGATTGAACTGTAGAACCACCCAAATTTCGACGGAATCAAAGGCTTTTTCATAGTCCACATACGCCAGGCAAAGTGGCAGATTGTACTCTTCGGTCTTCTGTACAATCTGTCGCAGAGTATGTATGTAGTCTGTGGTACTGAAGTCTTTTCGGAAACCGGCGAAACTGGAAATCGTCGAGTCTGCGTGAAAGACGATTCGTTATAACTCTCGAAAACAGCACGTAGACGCGGTTCAAAAGGGAAATAGTTCTGTAGTTCTTCAAGAGAGCGTTGTCGCCTTTCATGAAGAACAAAACCACCACACTTCTGCTCCACGCCTCTGGAGTAGTGCCACCATGGAGGACGGAATTAAAAAGCTTCTGAAGGACTTTAAGTACCGGTGTTACACCCGCTTTCAGAAGCTCCGCTGTAATTCCATCCTCGTCAGGTACCTTGCCGTTTTTAAGGTACTGGAGATCCATTTTGCGGGATATCATCGGAATAGTGTCAGCTACGACTTGCTCTTGCGTGTGGCTCCAACGATGATGTTTAGAGCTGCCCATAGAACCTCTCAATCTCACTCAAAATCTCAGGTATCCCGGAAACGATGCTGCCACACTCAGCCTTCAGCTTTGACAGTTGGATCTTTCTGGCAGACAGATCTTTGGCAAAGCCGCTCGATCACTTCTTCAATACGAGCAGTATTAAAGTTGCGTAAGTCCCGCCGCATGCATTTGGAGATCTGTCTGTTCAGTTGCCAGACTGCAGCTTCATCTCCAGTCTAACAGCCATGGAACTAACAGTGTGATTGGAGAGTTTTTGTGTTCTTCTGCGGCGGGTCTTGCAGAACTTAACTCCGACCACATGGACAGTTTCCAAGAGCTTGTCATTCATATGGTCCATTGCATTGCAATCTTCTAGGCACTGAAAACGGTTTTGTAACTCGAGCTGAAATGTTTCGTGATTTTGGATTAAGGCACGAGGAGGATGGAGCATTGACTTCATTAGACGAGATCTCTCCAACTTAACGGTTAGGTTCAGTGTGCGTCTAACCATTCGGTCGTGCGATCACTAAAACATCACTGAACAGTTGCCGTGTAGTGGTCTAATAAAATCAATCTCATTTTTTGTCGAACCCTTGGGGCTCGACCAGGTCCACTTTCTGTGGGGCCGCTTCTGGAAGAAAGAGTCATCATAGTGAGTCCCTCCTTCTCCATGAAGTCGACCTTGCTGTTGGCCCCTTGGGTTCCGTTGCCCTATCCCAAATTATACTTTCATATACTTTCAGCTCACCGTTCTTTCTTGTGCCATGTTTTGCGTTGAAGTCTCCCATTAACACCGTGTGGTGCGTTTTGGAGGAATGCATGGCTCTAGAAATATCCTCATACATTTCCTCCTCTTCCTCAACGGGATGTGCCGACGTTGGTGTGCACCATCTTCTTATGATATGGGATAGTAAATTATCTTATGCCGCCAACATATGACCACAAGTGTCTATGGGCCCCAACATTCACTTATAATAAGAAGATCGTGTCCTTTTTTATGTGTCTTTTATCTCTCTTTCAAATTATGCATATCAATTAGCTATTTCTTGAAAAGGAAGTAGATTTATAAAAGCTGTCAAATAAGAAGAAAAAGAAGAAGAAGACAAAGAAGAATTAACCTTACTTTTGCCAACGTCCAGGTCATCCGAGCTCACATTGGTATTAAAACTGTAAAATTCGGTGATGATGTGGCTATCAAGAGCTGCATTCCAAATGATGAACTGTTTTTTGAGAAGTCTGAAAAGCAGATTACTATTAGTTGAAGTCACGATCATGATGACTCCCTCGTAAAAACTACGCTAATATTGCACGTCTCACAACGCGAAGCATTATCAGGTAGTGCTTTACTTTAGACACGTCAAGGTCAAGCAATTTTGTGTTCTTAAAATGCCTCTATCATTAACCATATTGCACTTATACGATAATATGAGTAGCCATATATAAAGAAAACACTAATTAATCCATCATAATATATTTTCTAAAAAATCATTTTATATTGCTACTTTGAAAAAAAAAAACGGTTTAAAAACATATAACCTGGACGTTCGTAAGTCGATTTTGTATGTGGTCACGATAACTCACGAGAAAATTGACATATCGAGACGGAGATTTTTTATTAGTTTCAGAATTAAGAAGAAAGAAGAAAAAAAATATTTATTTTTGACACACCATTGTGTGTGTCAAAAATAAATATTTTCTTCAACAGAATACACTAACAAACAGCCAGTTAAAATTAGGGAAAAAATATGCATAATATATAGGTATTCTTAAAACTACCGGTTACCGTGTACTTCCGCAAGAACAATCAGTATACGTGAACTCTATGAAAAAAAATATATATCTAAGTAATTACTTATAAAATAAATGATTAAAAAATATGTATATATTACATGACAGGATACAAATTAAATACCTTATTATTAACAAGATACAGCGCGTGAAACTGTAACAAAATAATGACATCAGCAAAAAAAAATATTACATCAACTGGTTTCCTATTTCATATCAATAGCCTGCCTACGCGTAGTTTGTTAAAAAAGTGATTTACAACTTTTATAAGTTTTATTGCTATTTCAAATTTAAAGGTGCTTTTATATTTTTGGTCCTTGATAGACAAAAGGCAAATGTACCATAAAGCCTATATCGATTTAATACTTAGTGTAATCGATTTATTTTGGTAAATATACTCAAAATTTTTCCCCATAGGTGACATCACCTGTTAAAACAATAGAGCGATAAATTTAAAACATGTAAATAATATATTTTAAAAGTCACGAATGTTCATTTCATTTATTTTTTATCAAAATGAAATGAAATGTTCACGAGGCATGCACTTTCGGATTTTCCAAATATTTTTAAATCGTCTTCCTGAGCTCATTTAAGTCCTCTACAGATTGATTTTCCGTAATACCTTACGTTCGGTGACCACAATACCAGACGTTTCATATTTTCATATGTTTGTCACATTCGTTCAGAAGCGGAGCAAGACCTAAATTTGGTGTGGGCAAGATCAATTTTTCGAGGCCCCTGGCGACGGATAATTATTTTTCATAATTGTATTTGGTTCTCAATTATAACCCGTCACAAGTCAACAGCTGAACACAGAACTCCCCTATCTACTGTCACGGCCTTGAGCCACCTAAATACATCAATATCCTACATGTTTTACCTGGTCGATTGACCTTCATTTAGTTAGAGTCACCTCGCTCCGCTTACCAGGAAGAAACAACTTCAACGAATTTTAAATTAGGCAAAATACGGTAACCACTTCATAGCAACCCGCGACAATCTGACTCAGATATCGTTGAGACTTGAGACTCGTGAACTTAGCGTGAAGCAAATGGAATTGGAAATTCCGCGCTAGATATTAGGAACTTCATTGCCGCCAAATATTATAATGCAGTTACAGCCTATTTACGGCCAACAGCCGGGCACAGGTCTCCTGTCATTTCTGAGAGGGCAAGGAAGTGTCCGCCACGCTGTCGCAATGCGTGTTGGCAAACTTCACATGTCTTCGAAATATTTTTTTCTTATACCTCATACATGCAGGTTTCCTCACGATGTTTTCCTTCCCCGCCGATCACGTGGTAAATCAACACCTAAAATTGTAATTAACAATTTCATTGGTGCCGGCGGGAATCGAACCCAGGTTACTCGCGTTCTGTTATATTTACAGCGAGCGTTAACCATCTGAGCTACCACGGCTCATCAGTGGTAAAATTGCAATTAACAGTTTCCTTGGTGCTGGCGAGGATCGAACCTGGGTTGCTAGCGTACTGTGAAATTTACAGCGAGCGCTCAGCCACTGAGCTACCATGGCAATTTTTTAAAAGCAAACTACAAATTTAGGATGTATACGTACAGACAAGAGTGTTTATTGTAGATGTCTTGAGTTTTCATCGTTCCAGCTTATTATTTTTCTGCAATGAAAATTCTTTGATCTTTCGGGGTGTGAGGCCTTTGGGCCGCGAAGCCGTAGGCGGTCGCCCAAGTTGCCCACGCCTCGCGCCGCCTATGCATTCGTTCTATATAAAAACATACCTTACAGGAATGGACTGATTGTCTTCGTTTTTAGACACGTAGATGATGTTTTCGTACTTGTAATGATTTTCTTCTTCGACGACAGACTTCCAAATCTGCACCAATTTACCATCGTATGTCTTTTCACCTGTTATTAATGAATAAACGAAAATAAATTAGAAAGATGTATTTGTACTAATTACTCAACACCAGAACAGCAATAATGTAGGATTGACAAGAAACTGCCAAAATATATGCAACGTTTAATGTGGTAGAGGCACGCTGCGGCTATATTATGGTCGTAGCATAAATGGGTCGGCTCGACCGAGGAAGGTCCACGTTCTCACTTAATACCAGCGAGAAAAAGCAGCTTTAATGCTCTTGTGATGCATATGGTGAGTGTTTGGAACATTTTTAATGGAAACGAGGCATTCCATTTTTGTCGTCAGGGGTGACAACGCATCTGCGTTTTCATCCTTAGTCGAGGATAGATGAAGACATCTGTGGACCAATGCATTCGCTTACCATCAGGTGGACTATGCGGTCGTTTGTCACTCTGATTCTATAAAAAAATATAAGTAGATTACAAAAAATTGACCTATGTCCAGATGTCAGATGCAGAAGGAAAAGAAATTAATAGAATATTATCATTTGTAACGCTACTGAACTAAGAATAAGATATACCTTGATACGTAAAATCATCAACAGATGGTAAGAATTTCGTCATTTCCTCATTACACGGTACTCGCTTACAATGCAGAATGCTATCCAGGTTACCTTCAGTCTTCGGATAGACCTATAAAGTTAAAAAAAGTTTTATTTTTTTCTACAAACATGACAAATGACGTCTCTGTTTGCCCGTCTTTAGAGTTTTGCTATAGAAACATTACAACTTATTAGAACTGTACTGCTGCGTTTGCAGTTTCCGAACCTGATACATACCACGCCCGCAGAAAATACCGGCATAAAATTGTATCATATTGCTTCTGTTTCATATGGTCAAATATGGGTCCTGTTTTTCTTGTAACAAGGCATTCCGACACGGTCGTCTAGTGTGCATGTATGCCTATATATACTCGCTTGCCTATACAGGCCTCCCTCTGTCGTCTCGTACAACACGCACGGGACGATACATAGATTACTGTATATATACTAGAGATGATACGGGGTAGTGGTAGACAGGGCTATGAAAGTCCTCAGTATCCTGCTTTTACGTTGATACTAGCACCATCTAATGGTAGTTAAAAGCACTATTTTCTATACAACTATTACACATTTTTTTCAAAAGATGGCACCGCTGCTAACATTTATTATTTATACCGAAGCCTAAATTACGCTGTCAAAGTTTTAAAATGTTGCGGTGTATATGTAAAATAAATTTTATCTAACAAATAATGCAAGTCATGCCACATTAATTTAATGAATTACCTTATAGAAAGTTTTGTATATAGTCATTATTTAATTTTTAGCTATGAACATTTATTTTTATTAAATATACGAAATAATACCGAACCAAGTTGATAGCGCCCTCTATTATATTTTTCGGTAATTCATAATCTCAACGCCATCTATTACAGCGCAGAAGAAACTTCACTCGTTTCGTCATCAAATAATTTTTTAGAGTTTGGCTCATCTAGGTATGGTAGTTCTTACACCGCCACTAAACAGCATAGATTACCTGAGACTAAAAGCCACGGCCTATGAGGTGCCCCTGCGCGAAGTGACCGCCCGGCGTTCGGCGTCGTTTGATTATTTGGACAAAACCATCAACAAATACCATTTAGGTAAGGTCTTGTAGGTTTGACTTTGACTTGCTGCATTATTTTCAAGATGTTTTTTGGTTTTACATTTTTTTCATTCTGTTCTTTTCTTTATCACCAGTTTTTATCAAAGTTTATCGATTCGAGGTATAAAATGTAACCACAGGTTAAACAGGATAGATACTTTAAAAAAATAATTACCTTAAGGTTTTAAGAAAATATTACTTGTTTTTATTTAATTTCGCTAAAAAGTTGAATAAATGCCCAATGAATATGATTATTTTACTAATTATTAGATATTAATTTGCATGATATTACCTTTAAAATCACGCAAGTGGCACTTTAAGTGTCTTACTATCAAAATACCTATTGCCCCTTGATAAAATAATTTTATTGTAAGGAAACAATAAAAATAAATGCAAGTTTAAATCATTAATTTAAAAAAGTAATTAGTTTATAACGCTATAATTTATGACCGCCGTTGGCCGTAATACAGGCTAAGGCTCTAAATGAAATTATCAGAAGCGTTCTTTTTATTATTGAAAATTGGGTGCATATTTCAAGAGTTTGTAGTTCGATAAAAGTTTGAGATAGCTACAAATATTTTTATGAGATTATGTGGGTAATATCATGTTATTTAATAATAATTAATAAAATAATAATATTCATCGGGTATTTAATAAAATTGTAGCGAAATTCAATGAAAACGGGTAATTTTTTCTTTAAATTTTGAGGTATTTTTTTAATTTATACATGCGCAGTTACTAAAGCCCAGTATCCACGGCAACGATAAAACTGTGCAAACGAACTGCACAGTTCATTTGCGCAGTTTATCGAACGTCGATAGTGCGTCCACACATCTACTATATCTGCGTCGATCGTCAGTTCTCGGCAGAGACTCAGAAGAAAAACACGTCATTCTTGATAAAAGATGATGAAGCACTTACACTAGCCTGGCTTGTTTTGTACAAAAAGAAAAGAAAATCACTTAGTGTGTGTTGTAAGGGTTGGCTTCTTAAAAGAAAGTCATGCTCTCACCTAAGTTTATTAAAAGAGTTGAAATTCCCCAAAAGACTGGCACAATTATTTCAGGATGAATGAAGAGACCTACTTACACCTGTTTTTAGTTACACCGCTAATACAATAAAGCAATACTGTGATGAGAGAAGCAATAATTTTTCATGAAAGATTGTCTGCAACTCTAAGGTTTTTAGCTACAGGTCGCTAGTAAGAATGTATGAAGTTTTCTTCGTTGATATCAAAACTGGCTCTCAGTCAAATCATTCTTTGAAACAAACGAACTTGCGAACGAACTGAATGATTGGTCCGACTTCCGTACACACACTACGATAAAACTGTGCAAACGCGATCGACAAGGATTTATCGAATAGATTTTGAACCTTGCTCCCATGGCTTGCACCAATCAAAAAAATCTGCGCCGATTTTTGTACTCAGGTTCGGTAAAACCGCACAAATGTTCTGCGCAGTCAGTTTGCAACGATAAATCGTTATCGTATGTACCGAACATTATTGATTGATTGATATTACATGTTGATTCCTAATTGAAGATTGATCCATGAAGTCCATGGGCCACAGCAATCTCTTACTAACAGGTGGACCGTGTGCTCGTTTGTCCTTATTCTATTATAAATAAACTGTTATAATAAAAAGTATGTTGCGGAAGAGGATAAGTCATCATCTCTTTTCATCCCGGGTGTCTGACATCTACATCCATATTCGGTGAAGAAGATCTCTTTTCAATTGCTGAAGCCTCGCTGCCATAAACAAATATAGCTGCAGCACAATCAAAGTTATCTCAACCTACCTCATAAGCAATTGGCTGTTCTTCTTCCGGATTGGTATATAAAAAACGTTTTACTGTTCCCTCATAAAAGTCTATCCGGGAGCGGTTTTGTTCTGAACTGTGCCTGTTGTCAAAAGAAGATGGGGTTAGCAATGCACATAGCCTAGAAATCGTACGCGATTATCAACAAGTTGCATAAAAAGCCTGGGTTGACTCGCCGTTCAGCTGTGGATAGTTATCACAGTCTTTTTCTTTTGATGAATGTCCGTTTCTAAGAAAATCCATCACTGTAATACGTCCCGTGAGTGACAAAATAGACGCCCATAAATTTCAGAAAGATCTTATGGAAAGAAAGAAAGAAAAAAAAACATTTCACCACATAATCACAATATCGTACATAATATTTCCCATAAATTAAATTAAATATTAAATAATACTAGACACTGCCGAACATGGATGAGACGCAATGGGTCTCATCATTTGATGTGGCGAACCATAACCGCGGTTTTTCAGTGGGGCCTGTTTCATTTCTTTCGAGTAGTTCGAGCAGTGGTCCATCTTAATATTTTTTTTAGTATGAGTGGGCGCAAACGAGCATGCGGCTTATCTGGTGGTAAGTGATTACCGCCGCCTATGAACAACTGCAATACCAGGGGAATTGCAGATGCGTTGCCAGCTTTAAAAAAAGAGTAGGTTCCTTTCTTCAAGGTCCCTAAATCATCGGTAGTTCATTCCACAAGGAAGTTGTGCGAGGAAGAAAACTTCTTATAAATCGCACAGTGGTGGACCGCCAATCATCCAGATGGTATATATTGTGTCTGAAGTTTTGTCGCGACGAGCGAGCATGGAATTAAGCGGCTAGAATTAGTCCAAACATTTAACACTTTACACACTTCTTTTCTTTTAATTCCCTGTGGTAGATATGACAGAATACGCAAAGATATGCAACATCGCTTTACAACGGCAGTGAGTCAAGCCGATCAGAAAGAGCTCGGTTGCCGATAATTCGAACCACTCTGCGCTGGACGCCATGCGATGGAAGGAGCTGGCACAGGGGAGCCCCGGCTCAGAAATAGGAACAGTATTCCATGTGAGGTCGAACCTGAGCCATGTAAAGTTGCAGGTGGTGTGCTTGCAACTCTAAATGCTGGCATGAACCGGGGTACGACAAAGGGGTCCTTTTTAGCGGTAATTCCCCAGTTCGAAACTTTGTTCAACAAAGGTTCGACTTCAGACGCAAGTTTGTCCCGGCACTTGGCAACGTTTTACTGAGAAATGTTGGCATGGCCGGTGTATAAAGCATCACCAGTGCTGTCGTTTGCATAACAGTGAATGTTATCTGTTTGCAACATATCATTGATATGCAAAAGAAACAGCGTTGGTGATAGCACCGCAGCCGTGTGTAACACCAGCGTTAATAGGCTTGTTATCGGAGCATGCACCATCTACTACGACGTTGATACTCCAATCAGTCAGAAAATTGGTGATCCAACTGCAAAGTTTCTCGGGAAGCCCATAGGAAAGCTTTGAAATAAGCGCTTTATCCCAAACCTAGTAAGTAGCTTAATGCTGCTGTGTTTCGTAGGGTGAGTGTAGAGAACCGGAGACATGACAACGCATCTGCATTTTGATTCGTAATCGAGGATAGATGTAGATGTCCATGGGCCACAGCAACCACTTACCATCAAGTGGACTGTGTGCTCGTTTGTCATCCTATCCTATAAAAAAAACCCGATAAAATGCCTTCGCTATGTCCAAATGAACCGCCAAAGGGGGAGGCCTCTTGGATATAATATAGAAAGCGGTATAGCCACCTGGTTTACGCCAGACGTACAATACCCAGGTCAGCGACGGGAAGCAGTGTAAAAGGTTACAAAAGTATCTTCAGAGTACTTTTGCAGGCCGTACCATTACAGCTAATTATAGTCCGCAGCTGAACCTAGTCCTTCCCTATAGATTGTTGCCACAGTTGCCACGCCTGGCAAACGCGTTGGCAACCGCAATTTTTTATTAGTCGTTATAAGGAAGACCCTACTGCCTATCTCTTCATTTTCTCCCTCTGTCGCTTCTTACGAGCCCCACGGGATGATATGGGGTAGTGGATATTATTACACCGACACTACACGGTACTCTTGCAGGCTGGTGATGAGAACACACGACAGTTCTTCAAATTTAATAACAAAAGTTTTTTTTTTTAAATCGATACGTAGAAAATATTTTAAACATCTGTTAACTTTCTGGCTTCTGGTGTACTTATCCCATATAATGACGTTAAAATTTAGGTTTCCTTTTTAATTCCAGTCATTCTTGGGCACCCCAAATTAATGTAGTGAGCCGAAAAATGTTTGTAGCATATGATTCACTCCGCGTAAGTTCCTCATTATTTTTTCACTTTTTGTTATTTTTGTCTTTTCTTGGTGTATGATAAACAGTATTGTATTCATATTTGTATTTGTAACTTTCTTTTAATATATACTTAACCGGGATTGTTTTTACCCGACACATTTAAGCGTAATGCTTGTTAAGGTACCTATTATGTAAAACACAAATCTAAAACTTCAAAAATTTGTTAAAGTTTGGCAGTGTTATATTAAAAAAATATTATTCAATTGCATTTTTTGTTTTCTATTCAGATATTATTATTTTAATTCACACAGGAAATAAATTACTATCACGTTGTCGAAACGAATTTAGTAAGTATAAAGATTTTTCTTGAAGGGAAGCGTAAAAACTAATCGTACTTATACGATACGACGGCTCTCCAGCGCAGTGTCTAATGCCGGCATTTAAATTAAAAAAAGATTATTCAATGGCATTTTTTATTTTCTATTCAGATATTATTATTTTAATTCACACAGGAAATAAATTATTATCACGTTGTGGAAACGAATTTAGTAAGTATAAAGATTTTTCTTGAAGGGAAGCGTCAGAAACTAATCGTACTTATACGATACGACGGCTCTCCAGCGCAGTGTCTAATGCCGGCATTTAAATTAAAAAAAAGATTATTCAATTGCATTTTTTATTTTCTATTCAGATATTATTATTTTAATTCACACAGGAAATAAATTATTATCACGTTGTGGAAACGAATTTAGTAAGTATAAAGATTTTTCTTCAAGGGAAGCGTCAGAAACTAATCGTACTTATACGATACGACGGCTCTCCAGCGCAGTGTCTAATGCCGGCATTTAAATTAAAAAAAGATTATTCAATGGCATTTTTTATTTTCTATTCAGATATTATTATTTTAATTCACACAGGAAATAAATTATTATCACGTTGTGGAAACGAATTTAGTAAGTATAAAGATTTTTCTTGAAGGGAAGCGTCAAAACTAATCGTACTTATACGATACGACGGTTCTACAGCGCAGTGTCTAATGCCGGGTTTCTATATTTAAAAAGGTTTCGTGATGAAATCCCTTACAATGACATTACACTGTAATTATTCAATAACATAAAACCAAGAGTTCCTTAAACATTTGCTTCTATAAATCGATTTCTTATATATAGGTACGCGAACACTGCACATTGAATAAACATACGGATTTTACATGAATTTAATTAGTTTTAAATTGAGTTTAATTTTGCTTGATTTTGATTCCCGATGTTTTGTGTGCTTTAAAGTACCCATGGTCACGGAGTTACACTTGTAATGGGTGCTGTAAAGTACTCGAACCATCGCAAAAATTAAATAAATTATATACGCGATAAAATCCGTAAAAATCAGTATCATGTGTAGGGCTTGCATAAAAAATCCTCGTGTGTGTTTGACGCCCCGATGATATTTTTTATTATTGATTAAGTTGTTTTCGGTTAACAATGACATAGAGTCGTCAGCACCTCAGTGCCACCGTGACCACAGGCACCGCAAAGCACCCAAAACTTCGCGAATTAAGCATAATTAAACGCGATAAAATCAGTAAAACTAGTTTTATTTATTTGCTTCCACTTACCATACTTCGTACGGCTCAACTATACCAGACTTGAGGCTGATCTTCTCAGCCTTGAAGTGAAATTCTGTCGGCCATATTAGACTTTTTTTGTAGTTCGTTGCTGTCTGCAAAATTATTGTATAAGATAAAAAAAACATCAAAATTTAAATTAAGGTGACAAACGAGTACACAGTCCTTCTGATAGTAAGTAAATATTGTGACTCTTATAAACGCCTACATTAATTCTCAATAAAGAATCTAAATGCAGATGTATTGAAACCCTGGAGAACTTAAATGGGATATCTTGTTAGCAATTACAAGTAGCTCACGCTGTTTACACGAACGACACGAAACACAGCAGCGTAATGCTGTTTCACGTTTGTAATCTATGAAATAATTTTAATACGTCGTACGACTTAGGCCTTGACAAGCTAGTATGCATCACTTGATAGCTTTGCCCATACTCATCGAGATAGGTAGAAAATAAAAGTTTTAAGCTATTGCATAGCTTCTATCGCGGGCCTTGAGCGCGGGGACCGAATCCAGAAATTCCGTAACGAAAAAAACCTCACGCTCCCCACTCCGACGGGCACGGAGGTGTGGCGTTGAAAGCCGTGCATCGTCTAACGTCATTTCAGTTCGGCAGACTTCGGCACTCGGCGGACTTCGGCACGGTGTTTGTGCGTGTACACTAGCTGCTAACTCAATGATAAAAATTCCTGAATAACCTACATGTATTGTAAGATATTAAAAATATTTTAAACAATATTAACTTCTCATTTATTCAATAAGAGAAAAAAATTTGTTTTCTTAACGGTTACCACGCTCAAAAAGTGTAACTTGATTTAATATCAAAGACTTAACTGCATAAATAAAATAAATAAATAATTATAATTGCATAAGTTGATAAAAAATGCTATGCAATAGCTTTACCGCGGCAGTCCTCGAGTGCCACACGTATTTTTTTTTAAAAATTGAAAAGACAAATGTCCAATTCCACTTGATAGTAAATGGGTTATTGGAACCCATGGTGAACTGCAACTAACTTCTATCAAAGAATTTTTTATACGTGGTAGAGCCACACTGTAGCTATATTGTGGTCGGCTTGATTGGGAAAGGACCACGTTCTCACAGAATACCAGCGAAAAATAGCAGCTTAATACTGATGTGTTTCGTATATTGAGTGTAGAGATTCGGAGATCCTTTTTTACTGGAAACGAGGCATTCCATCTTGGTCCTCAGGAGTGACAACGCATCTGTATTTTGATTCTCGAGGATAAATGTAGATGGGTATGGGCCACAGCATCCGCTTACCATCAGGTAGACTGTGTGCTCGTTTGTGAACATAACCTACGACACATAACTAAAGATGTCTTCCAGACCGAATTTCGGTCACGATGGCAAGTTTTAATGGAGGATAGGATTGCGCAGGTCAGGATTATAGTGTCCAAGTATTCTAACTCTTTGTTCCCTTACTCTCATGGTCCGATGGGACGGTACTCGGGCACGACCGGAGAGAGATCTGTCGCAGGGGCAACGGCTGTATTTGCTTAGGGCACGGGGCGAAACCCACTTCCTGACTCCGGGCTACTACTGAGAATTTCTTGACAGGAAAACCGAATGGTTGAGCGAATGACAAAAATCCGGGACGATGGAATAGAAAAATGTTGGGGACAATGACCAGAAATGTTTTCGACGATTGAGGTCTCAGGTTCGATTCCCAGGTCGAGCCTTGACCTTATTATGCGAGATGTTACTATGTGGACAGTATGTGCGGATTCTTACAACCAAAACAAGATGGTCAACGTGGCACGCGGCAGCCTTAAACGTTGCACTCGCTATTCCAAAATCTACTGTTTTGCCAGTGCCTCGAAGGAGTATCTAGTACTCACCAGACTTTGCGCTTACAGACTTCTACTTTTCCCAGAAATTGAATTACGTTATGACTGAAAAAAAATTCAATATCCAAGAGGTATTACAAATGCATGGGTGATTACTTTGATTAATAGAACAAAAATATAAGTTAACCTATTTCATAAAAAACGGGAAATTAATAGGTAAAGACCTAATATTAAATACTTTACCTACAAAGAAGGAACAGCCACCGAAAAATGAATGTAATAATACAATCAGGTATTTCATGTTGAACAGGGTAATGGTTGATAGGCTCTGAATCCGTTAATATAAATGCAGTATTATCAAACATGATAAAGTTAATTAAAGTTAACTCTCGCTAAATAATTAATATAATGAAAGAGATTGCGTATTTAAATATTCAATAGTATTAGTTGGATCGCGATAATCATGGTCCATTGATGTTGGAACAGCATCAAGTGGAATATTATATTTTATTCAACATAAATTCATATTTAATACGACCTGTTTTAGCTACGCCTGAGTAAAATTGGATGTCTAGATTTAAGATAATTTAGACCATTGATTAAATCAATATCCGGATATATTATAGCATAATTACTCCTGGTGTGTGATAGCTCTCTATATGTTTGTGAAGTTTCATTATTATAGGTTCAGCCAAACCAAAACTCGGGCAGGCAGACAAAAAGATACGCGTTACAGATGCTGGTTACTGAGGGCCGTGACTATATTCAGCAGTGGTTTTTTATAGTATTTTTTTTTTAAATATAGAATATTGGTGACAAACAAGCACACAGTCCACCTGATGGTAAGTAGATGCTGTAACCTATAGACATGTACATTTATCCTCGATTAAGAATCAAAACACAGATGCGTTGTCAGCTCTGAGAACTAAGACGGAATGCCTCGTTTCCAGTAAAAGAAAGTCTCCGGATCTCTACACTCACCATACACAAGCCCACCCATTCGTGCTACAATCATAATAATGCACGCTATAATTAGCGCCCGGTATATGGCGAGTGATTATTAGTGCCATCTGGTATCAAGCAGCAGAAATAGGAGCGTCAAGAACTTTCTAGAACTTTCCCACCGTATCGACAGAATAACGAAAATCGGAGTTTTAAAATTACTGATAACAAGGTCAATGCATATGTATTTTGATTGACTGCCTCGTTGGTCTAGTGGTTGTAGTAGTGCGACTGCTGATCATGAGGTCCTGGGTTCGAATTCCGGGTCGGGCCAAAAAATTAACTATTGAGTTTTTCCGTCAAGAAATTCTTAGTAGTTGCCCGGACTCGGGAAGTTGGCGGTTTCTCACCCCCCGTGCTTCGGAAAGCACGTAAAGCCGTTGGTCCTGCGCCTGATCTCTCTCTGGTCGTGTCGGTTTACCGTCCCATCGGATTATGAGAGTGAGGGAATAGAGAGTGCGCCTGTGCTTGCGCATACACTTGGGCACTATAATCCTGTCCTGCGCCGATGGCTAGCCTCCGTTGAGGGATGCCACCGTGGCCGAAATTCGGTCTGGAGGATATTATTATTATTTTGATTTTAAATTGAGTATACGTTAAAACATCTTTAGATATACTTATTAGTAATTCAGACATTGCAATTAAAACTTTTCTCGATCGCACAGCATAAATGTTATGGAGTCACCATTGTCCTGTGTAATTGTTGTTATATTATGATATATTATGTTTGTAGCAAAAATGGGTCGCTTCAACCAGGGAACGACCATCGTGCTCTCACAGAATACCATCGTAAAATAGCAGATTAATGATGCTGTTTCGTATGTTCAGAGTGAACCGGAGACCCTTTTACTGGAAACGAGGCAATCCATCTAAGCACTAAAGGTTGACAATGCATGTGCTTTTTGATTCTTAATTGAAGGTATATGGGATGTATATGACCAAAAAAATAAAGATAATATTCCATTAGGTGGATTGTGATTATTTATCATTCTCATTCTACAAAAAATCAACTTATAGCATAAATTGTAGAAACTATTCGTTTTCTGTAACGATCTATTATATTACTAAAATGGTGAATGCAAATAGAGTTTTTATTTCAGACTATTCGTTAAGCAACTTAAGACGACTTAAAATGGAACAACTGGAATACCAGGGTGAAATAGCAGCTTAATGCTGCTGTGTTTCGTGTGGTGAGTGTAGAGAATCGGAGACCCTTTTTACTGGAAGCAAGTTCCAACTTGGTCCTTAAGGGTGGCAATGCGTCTTCATTTTGGTTAATCGGGAATAGATATAGATATCTGAGGGCCACAGCATCCACTTACCATCAGGTGAACTGTGTGCTCGTATGTCATACTTATCCTATAAAAAAACTCAATGTTGTTCGTAAGTTAATAAATCAGTACTTTATTTTAAAAAAGGTTTATTAATAAACTTTATATACTGTACAACCATGTAGTGGCGGTGTAAGAATATCAACTACCCTGTATCGTCCCGTGGGTGTAGACATAGGAAAACAAGCCAGGAGATAGGCAGAAGCACCTCCCAAATAAAAGGCAAATTGTCATTCCGCCTGCCTGGTAACTTTGGCAAACATTTCCCTTTAAGAGACAATTTATGTTTGTTATGTAATGTTATGTAAGAAACATTCTATGTTAAAATAAAACGCTTCTCAACGCTTGTGGCGTTAGACCTCAAGGGTGACCAGCATTTGGTGACGGCATTCTTCTTTAAGTTGGTTCCAAAAGATTCAAAGCCATTTACCATTAGGAAATTAGGTGGACCGTCAGCCCGATTGTCACTTTATAATAAAAACCCGTGTGGTGGTGGTGTAAGAATATCCTCTACCCCACGTCGTCCCGTGGGTGTCGTAAGAGGCGAACAGGAGATACGCAGCAGCATCTTCCTGGTAATAACTCAAAAGAATAAAGAAACTACAGTTGCCAACTTGTTTGCCAACCTTGGCAACTACGTTAAATCCACCCGTGAGGCAATATATGAAGGAGACCTATGGACATCTGTGTACTTATATAGGCTGCTACGGATGGATAGATTGAAAAGTAAAATCATTATTTTTTATTTGGTAACTCTACCTATCTTCGCTGTGCAGTTCCGCCATCATGCGTGGTAGAACCACGCTGCTTATTTCTCGGGTCCCGGGTAGTCACGAAATACCAGCATAAAATAGCAGCAACATGCCTGTGTGTTGTGAGTGTAGAGATCCGGAGACTATTTTTTACTGGAAACGAGGCATTCCATCTTAGTCCTCAGAGGTGACAACGCATCTGAGTTTTAATTCTTAATCGAGAATAAATATAAATGTATATGGGCCTCAGCATCCACTTACCATCAGGTGGACTGTTGCCTCGTTTATCACCCTAATTCTATTAAAAATAGCTTGCAAAACCGCTGTTAACTTCATCTTTCCAACGAATGTGATAAACTAAAAAAAAAAATAAGAAAAGTTGGCAACGGTATAATTTAAAAAGAAAATATTATTGGAACGAATCCCACGAGCCAGTTTGTTCACAAAGACGACCCAATAAATTGCAGCTGCATCGAATCGAAATCAAAAACGCTGCCGGACTTATCATATGGGTCACTGCACACGGCTGTCACCATGTTCGTTTGTCACCTTATTCTATATAAAACTGCAAGTGATCCCTCATCATCACATGGATGTCATAGGAGGCGAAGGAGCGAGATGATACAGGAGATGAGCAGAAACATAAAACTGCGGTTGCTAATATGTATGCCAAGCGTGGCAATTATGGCGAATACCCAATGAGAAAATATATGGGAGATAGCAATGGACTTTTGAAAGGATGTTACGAATGATGTGCCATGTCGATCTGGGATTTATGGGTCCCATGTTTATGATCGACTTATGACAAAAATTGATGTGCCAACTGCGTTCACGTCTAGCATGTCGTGAAATGCGACTAATGGGATTTTGGGTTTGTGATTATGTAAGTGATGACCTAGCTAACAATTACTTTTTTCAATTTTTTTTGGCTAAACACGGCCTGACTGGCTCGTGGCTCTGACGACTCTGCCTACTCTCACGAGGATTACGGGCGTGACGTATGTGTATATAAGATATGTATAGTGAATATAATTAATGAATTCTACTTATCTATTTTCCATTTCATGCGACAAGTTATGAAGAAACACTAATATAAAAATACGAATCTTACTCTGGACTTGCCACAGCAAGAAAGATTTTATCAAAAAATTAATTGGTAACTAAGTAACAATAGTCAATAATTCCTAGTACTGTATATGTTGCCTTTCATCCCCTGTGGAGAGGGGTGGAGGGAAGGGATGAAAGGCCGCCCCTCTCTCCAGGGAGGGCGTCTGGTCATTCAGATCGCGAGTGAGAGGCGCCGCGGTGACTCGCGCTTACGTCGCCCAGCCATGTTTTGTTGAGTGCAAAGTGATCCATTTAAAATGTCGAAGTATTACGCACTGCTAGCCGTTTTCCTGTCTGTCTGTCTGGTTATAGGTGAGTTTAGTAGTTGTATTCACAAATTATCTTATTATGACTAACATATCGTTGAACTGCAGGGAAAGAAGCATATATGAGTATTTGGCAATGCAAATAAGTTTCGTATGTTGTGCAGATTTCTGTTTATTCCATATATTTAAAGGAACTTTTAGAATTTATAAAATAATATTATTATTCGAATGTCTTTTTTATACTGTCAACATTTATTAAAATATAAAATAATGTAAATAGTATAAAGCAACTTTATTATCAATATTCAATAAACATCAAATCACTGTGTAAGATTTATTTGTTACGAAATACAGTTTAAAAAACATAGGAAACGAATCTCTCGAATAAGTTTATTAATAAATTGCTCGAATAATGATTAAAATTAGTTAGGAAGAGTTATGGAAACAAAAATCTTTAAGTATCTCACAGCTGAGATAAGAATTCCTCGAATTTTAGAGGAGAATTATGAGGATTATTCCTAAAGCTGTTTTATACAATTAATTATTTTTATATAAGGTCGTGAAGGTGATATGGTTACCTTAAGCTTTGTCCTATAAAACCAACACTAGGAGGAAGGCAGAGGCAAAAACACTAAGGCGTATGCTATAACTAATATATTAGCGAAATAATAGTAAACTCGTTTTGTCAATAAATAGGAACACTTCGAAAAATTTACTTAAAAAAACTAACTACACTACACAATACTAAAATCGACTAAAATATTGTTGTAAATATCGACTGTTAAAATGACATCGATAAAGCAGCGCCCTTTGACTCTTTATTATCTGATTGACTGATGAAGAGCTATCGTATCACATAGCCAACGCAAACAAGGCTTTCGTTTCTGCGTAATAAGAAAGTGCCCATATTTACCTGATGACTATATTAGCCTCACGTACTATAATTAAAGTGAAAAGTGAACTACCATTCTATCGCATGGTAAGTGGATACCGCAGTCCACGGTCACTTGCAAACAACAAAGAAGGATACAGTTGCGTTATCACCACTGAGGATTTATATGAAAGGCTCTCAGCCCGTAATTATAATGACTCTCTACACCCTGCAGACCGGAACACGGAAGTGCACAGCTGCTTGGAGACAGAAATAGGAAATAGATATTTTTATTTATTTATTTATTTTATTTCACAATTTATGTACACACAAGTTAGGGAGAGGACACATCATAATAAAAAGTTTGTACAAAGGCTCTACTTATCTCACAATGAAATTTCTTCCAGTAGGCCAGTTTCAAACACATATGATTACTAAATGATTATAAGGTGTGCACTTTGTTATTTTACTACACATATGGGTGTAAGATAAATATATACGTCAACTCAAATACTTATATATATATATATATATATATATATATATATATACATATACATATATATATACATATATACATATACATACAAATACATGAATATATTCATATTTAAACAAACATTAATACATACAAAAATACTAAATATAATATAAGTCATAATTAAATATATAAACATATATACAGACACACATACATACATATATGTACATGCACATATTTGTAACAGTATAGTACATATCACAGATTTGAGACTTACACAGAAGACAGCGATAAATAATGTTCTTTCACTCGTTTTTTGAATAATGTCAGTGTTTTGATTTCTCGAATATCAGTAGGAAGCGAATTCCAGAGTCTTACTGCTTGTACGGAGAATGAACGGGAATATGAATGAGTATTAAAGGATGGGAATTTTAAGAGAGTTTTAAGGTGTGATCTACAAACTGTATCTGGGGATTTAAGAAAGGTAAATCGATTTCGGAGGTATGTAGGGAAGTTTGGGCTGTGTAGGATGTTAAAAAAGGAGACAAAGGATACGAGTGTTCCTGTGAAATCGGATCGGGAGCCACTTGAGTTGCTTTCTATATTCAGAGACGTGGTAAAACTTCTTGAGTCCGAAAATATAACGAATGCAAAGGTTTTGTAATCGCTCAAGTTTGTTTAATTGCTCCTCTGTGGCATCCAAAAAACAGACATCAGCGTAATCTAAGATAGGCAAAATAAGGGTTTGAACAAGAGTGATTTTCGTTGATAAGGGTAAAAAACTTTGAAGACGTTTTAATGAGTGGAAAGCATAATAAACTTTTCTACCTAAGTCCATTATGTGAGGACCCCATGATAACCTATTGTCAATAATTAAGCCCAAATTCTTCACAGATTCAGTATAAGTAATTGATGTGCCATTGATAATAACATCTGGCAGGGTGCATTTATCAATTAAGCTACTAGTATATCTGCTACTTACTATTATTGCTTGAGACTTACTTGGATTAATAGTTATACCATGTGATCTGGACCAACGACTAATTCTCTTCAAGTCATCATTCAGTGCTTCTATCGCCAATTTAGCTTCAGATGCCACAAAGTGACGGTAAAGCTGCAAATCGTCTGCATAAAGATGGAAGTTGGAGGATATTATTTTTGTTATAGAATTGATAAAAACGGTGAAGAGCAACGGAGACAAGACGCCACCCTGGGGTACACCCGTTATAAGATTACACCAGTTGGAATAAGTATCATTGGAACGGATACATTGTGAGCGACCCCGAAGGTAGAAATCAAACCAGAGAATGGCCGAAGGTGAAAAATTAATAGACTGGAGAATTTTTAAGAGGATATCAAAGTCAACAGAATTAAAGGCACTGCTGAAATCTAATAAAACGAGTACGGTTAATTGTTTTTGATCTATGGCTCTACGGATATCATCAGTTACCTGAAGAAGAGCAGTTGTTGTACTATGACCGGGCCGGAATCCAGATTGAAATATATTTAAAATATTGTTAGAATTAAGGTAAGAAGACAATTGATTGTGAACAATATGTTCAAGTACTTTAGAGAGGAATGGTAATATAGATATAGGTCGAAATTCGGAATGTAATATAGGGTTAGCAACCTTGGCTATTGGAATAATTTGTGCTAACTTCCACGAGCGTGGAAAACAGGAGAAAGATAATGAAAAATTAAATATGTGAGTAAGAACTGGGAGAATACAAGGTAAAATCATAGTTATCATTGTGGAAGAAATTTTGTCATTTCCCGTTGCAGTAGAAGATATAGATAGCACTGATAGTTTTACTTTATCTTCTGACACTGATACAAATTCAAACTGGCTGGAATGTTGCAATGGACATCTGGATAGTTCTAGCAGGGTCTTAGCTTTTATAAATGAAGATAAGGAAACAGGTGAAAGAGAAAAATATTGATTGAGAATATCTATATCAAGATTTCCAGTCCCAAGCGCAGGGTGTTTGCCAATGCCGACTGTTTTAAGAAAACTCCAGGCTTTTGCTGAATCGCAATTTGAAAGTGAGTCATAAAAGTAGCGCCTTTTAGCATCTCTACACAAACGATTGCAGCGGTTGCGCAGACTCTTAAACTTTATTAAATTTCTTTCCAAGGGACAATGTTTATATTTACTTCTGGCTTTATCCCTACGCGCCATAAGCTCTTTTATCTCAGTTGTAATCCAGGGCGCAGGACAATGTTTTATTTTTATACGTTTGACAGGTGCATGGCAATCATACAATCTAAGAATTAAAGCGGTAAAGTTGTTAACCATATCATCAATATTATGACAATCTTTTACGGAAGACCAATCTATTTTACTTGCATCACGTCTTATGCCTTCCAAGTCAATACCCTTATAGCTACGAAGAAATCGAAAATGTGATTTGCTCTTAGGTGGACGAACACGGTACGATATGTAAATGAGGTCATGGTACGAAAAAAGAAGCTGTTATTTGTCCATGATTTGCAATGTTATTTAAAGATGAAACAATGATAAGGTCAAGTAAAGACGGAGTGCAGTTTGGAAAATGATGGATGGCAAATGGGGGTAAAATTTGTAGGTTATGTGAGGACACAATAGACTTCAGCTTAAGTCCACGTGAATCGTCCTTCAGTAAGCACGTATTGAAATCTCCCATCACGATTACATGACTATATATAGGACAGAAGTCTGTAACTAAATTTTCAAATACATCAAAATAATTAATTTGCATATTAGGGTTGTATATCACACCAAGAAGTATTTTTGTATGATGAAGTGTAACTTCAAGAAAAAGGTGCTCAGCAGATTCAGAATAAGTAGACGGGGAAGCAGAGATATGTTTGTATTGGATTTCAGAACGCAAGTAAATAGCTACACCACCTCCTACTTTACCAGTCCTATCATTACGTATCAAAACGTAACCAGGAAGTGAAAACTGAAAAGAAGGGAGAGAAGGCTTAAAAAAAGTTTCAGATATAAGAAGTGCGTCGATTAGATTACTGCTAATGGATGCAAGAAGGTCAGGATAGTGGGCAGGAACACTTTGTGCGTTGATATGGGCAACGTTAAAATTATTGGGATAGGAAGAAAAAATAGCAGAAATATGAATTTTTTTGGAAGATTTACTGTAGTATATTATATCAATACGTGAATCTTCTCGTGTGACATTTTAGTGTTCACTATAAAACTAGCAATTTGCCCCGGCATCATTCAGTAATATCTGGATTCTACAACAGCGCCACCTACAGGTTCCAACTATGCCTATAACTAGCATTTAAGCTAATAAAGTTTCACCGCAATCTGACGAACTGTATGGCAGCGCATAAAATACAGAAACGGGGACACGTTTTATTGGAAATGAGGCATTCCATCTTAGTCCTCACGGGTGACAACGTATCTACATTTTGATTTATAATCGAGGATAGATGTAGATGCCTATAAGCCGCAGCAACCACTTACCATCAGGTGGGCTGAGTGCTCGTTTGTCACCATATCCTATAAAAATACAAAAATATAGTTTACTTGATAGTAATTAGATTTTGTGATCCATTGACATCTACATCTGTATTCTGTTAAGAATCTAAATATAGATGCGTTGTCACCTCTAAGTACCTACTTAGATGGATTGCCTAGTTTCCTGTGATAAGGGACTACGGATCTCTATACTCACCATACGAAGCACGGCAG